AGACCTCAGTTCTGCAAGTGGCCTCCTAATAAGGAGCTCAGACTTTAGTGATGCCTTTTGAAATACGAGATATTTTTGAGATATTTTGAAACACAGCTGAAAAAAGTTGAAAATTATATTGCTAAAGTTAAAATAAACATCTATTTGGCCAAAATTCAATTATCTGTAACAATCCTAAGGGTCTGTTACTTACAGTCTTTTTATATACATATCTACGTATGTACACATACCTAATAGTTACCTGCATATGTGTTTGTGCATACAAAATATATAATACATACATAAAATTTGCTCAAGTTAAAAACGAAACAGTAGATGGTAACTGTGAACTTTTAATTGCCTACAGAAAGAGGCTAAAGCCAGTCTTTTGTTCCTAGAAAGCTCATCTTCAAATTCAAGGGAATAAAATTCAAAACACATCTAGAAGGATACTTCACATGCTGGTTAAGCAAGTATCTGTATTTTGTGAATATTTTGTTTTCCCTGTTCTTAACTCAGAGAGTTGTCTGCCCCTTGGTTTTGCTTTTCTGTATTTGGAAGGTTACAGGTGACTTGGAGCTTCAAAAAGATGCAGGCACAAAGCAACAAGTCAGCTGAAAACTGTTCCATTTAAATGCAGTACCGTCCCCAAGGCAATCTAGGAAGGGCCAGCAGGTGTCAGTCTTGAAAAGGATGTCATCTGGTGGCAGCATCCAAAAGAATGATGTACTAATAGGAAGACTGACATAAAACAGGTAAGTAGGCTGTAGAGTTTCCAAATATTGCTGCTACACATTCATCCTAAGTCGAGGGAAAGAAATACAAAAGGAAGGCTTCAGAGAATCCAGCTATGTGTTGTGTTTGTCTTCATTACACAAGTGCTGTATCTGGCAGCAGAGTGCTGCCAGTCAAAAATGTGGACAACCAGGACACGTCGTATTCCCTAAAACTTCAAGCAGTTACATTAAAAACATACACACATATATATATATTCCTTTAATAAAAACTTACCTATGTACAAATCTTTTGCTCTCTAAGTAGGCAAGTGCTGTGCTAAGCTGGTAAGCATAGAGTATCAGAGAGGCCAGATCCAAGCTGTATTTCCTCACTTGCAAAAATGATCTCAACTTTTTGCACAAACAAGGAAAAAAAAGGAAAGAGGTTAGGACAAAAAATAACAAATTTTAACAAGGCACATCTCAAATAGTAAAGTTTGCACAGAGTATCAGTGGGTATGCCTTCCCTTGACACTGGATGAGAAAAGAAAATCACTTGCCATGAAGAAATTTGTCCCTGGGTTATATTCATGAAGTTTTTTCTACATGGAAACTGTTAGCCAAACAAAAAAATATTTGTGCATTGCATGCAGGCTCCTTTTGAAGACTGAGAGCATATGCTGCTGTTCAGAGCAAGGCACTCCTGCACTTTTTATGCATTCTTCTCTTGAGAACTGACCATGGTTTTGGCCTAAATAATTTTAGAATGAAAGAGTACATGGACAATTTGAACACCAATTAGATCAGCATTGCTTTGGAAGCATTAATTTTTATCTATATTTCCTAAAACAACTGGATTGAGCTCAATTCAGAATTTTTGTAAGCTGTATTCCCTTACAAACTAAAACAAAGCTTTGAAGAGTGATCTGGGCACTGGAAAGGAAACCTGTAACTTTTGGGCAGGAAATTACTTCTCTAGTGCCATTTTTTTTTTTTTTTGTGGTGTGTTCTGTTTTGCTTTGTTTTCTTGGACAATGTATTGCAGCTTGACAATTACAATGACTATCTTACAGTGCAGTATGAAATACCACTTCAGCTCACATTTTCACAGATGGGGCTCAAAGCAAACAAAATCAATTCTAAAAACTGGGGTCTGGTTTTGTTCAAAGGATTCAACCAAGATATAATACTGAGGAAAATCATCTTATCTAAAATCTCTGCTGCAGAGGATGTACAAAAAAAAAGCTGTAAGAAATTCCATGTTTCAAGGGAAAATGCAGTATTACTCAGGAAGAATAAAATATAAACCACATCATTTCACTTCTAGAAGGTACGTTTGCAAATGCAGTTTAAATGATACCAGATTATCATCATCTCGACACAGGTCATGCTCTCACTCTGGAGCAGCAATTAAATTCTCTGAGAACTATGACTAAATCACTTTGCTATGAGCTGATGCAGTTCCCTCAGTAGAGGAGTTAGACCAAATTCTGACTCCCAGTCCATAATTCTACAGATAAGTATGATATCATATTGGAGGAGAGCGCCTTTGTGCTTAGAACCAAGAAGCCATTTTTTCAGCCTTGTAAAGATATCTGTGAGGTTAGAGTGAAGACCACAGCTGCACAAGGATTCTTCTCACCTCTCCAAGTGTACAGAGCTCCATGATTATCCAAACTGGGTTTTCTGTAATGACCCCAATGAGCTTCACGATGTGAGGATGATCAAACTGACGCATTGTTACTAAAAACAAAATAAACAAGTCGGGGTGTTACATAAACCCTTTTTAATTACAATAAAAAAGTTGGTAAAGAAGCATTTAGTGTATGACCAGAAAATATGTTCACATTTCTGCAGGACTGCAAGCAATAGTGTCTGGTCATTTAATGCTCTGCAGGCAGCATGAAGCACTGCCTGCTTTAGTGAGCTGCTGTGGAAGGTGCAAATCAAGTCAGGTTCTCTGATTCTTCTGCCCTGGTTAAGCATAAATTTAAGTAATGACCTATCAATCCAGTGCATGACCAATTAATCTGTGCATTTCTATTGGAAGAGGAGGAAGGAGAAAACTGTGTGTATAATTCAGGGTCTGGAAAAACTGCCTGTCAGTTTATGACACAGACAAAAATCCCATTTAATCACGATGTTCTCATCTCATTTTGTTTTCTGTGGATTTTTCAGTCTCAGCCGTGCATTCACAGTACATTTTATGCAGTAAGACACACAAAACAGAATCATCAAATGGCTTGGGGTGGAAGGAACCTTTAAAGATCCTCAAAGTCCAACTCCTCTGCAACAGGCAGGGACACCTGATCAGGGTTGCTCAAAGCCCCATCCAACCTGGCCTTGAACACTTCCAGTGATGGGGCATTCATAGTTTATCTGGGCAACCTGTTTCAGTGTCTCACCACCCTCAGAGTAAAAAATTTCTTCCTAGTGTCTCATTTAAATCCACCTTCTTTCAGTTTAAAATCACCAGCCCTCATTCTACCTCTACACCCCCAGATAAAGATTCTCTCTCCATCTTTCTTATAAGCTCCCTTTGAGTATTGAAATGCTGCAGTAAGGTCTGCCCGGAGCCTTCTCTTGACTAAACTACCCCATCTCTCTCAGCCTGTCCTCATATGGGAGTTGCTCCAGCCCCCTGATCATTTTTGTGGCCTTCCTCTGGATCTGCCTGAGCACACCCATGTCCTTCTTATGCTGGGGGCCCCAGAGCTGAACTCAGTACCCCAGGTGCAATTTCATGAGAGCAGAGGTGTGGAATGTCCACGCTCAACCTGCTGGCCACACTTCCCTTGATGCACCCATGACATCCTCCTCTGCCTCTGGACCCTAGTGGGAGTTCCAGCTTCAGGAGTTCCACAAAGCGTTGGGTCTGGGCACCTCTTTCAGTTCCTGGGGGCTCAGCTTGGGTGCAGGTGTCCACAAAGGGGAGTTTTATCATGTACATGTGGGTTACAGTCACAGCTCTGGAGCTGCAGCAGGTGGAAACCATTTTGTTTCACCAGGAAGCCACCTCTGTTCTGCTCCCTGAAGACAACAGCCCATGTTCCCCATCACTAGTGGTTCCCAGGGGTGCTAGGGTTGGCTGTGGTTGCTCCTGGCCCACCCCGGGTCCCCTTAGCCACTGGCCCAAGAGCTGCTGGCTCCTGGTAGGTCTCTGTTCCCCTCAGGTCCCCCTGAGCACAGAGCCCTTGGCCACCCATGGTGCCAGCACCAGAGCTGCTCCTGGCAGCGACCGATTTGGCACTCAACGGTTTGGTAGGTTAAATGGAACATCAGCCCTATGATTAACTTCTTCTCTTCCAACATAGGCATGACAAACATCCTTAATTTGATCTTGACAAATAGCCCTCATGTAATTTTGAATTAGTATCTCCTTTACATTTACAGTTTGTAGTGTCAACAGAAATACACAGTCATTATCTGACTGGAAAGGCTGCTTCAGTTTGTCTCAAATTAGGCAAGAATAAAACCTGCTATCTTTTGGCTTTTAGTTATCACCAGCTAAACCCAGGGGATGTTTCTGGGGTCCTGATGAGCTCTGAATTCTACTTCTGGACACTGGTACAGAGCAGCTGTATAACCAACACCTCTTGCACAAGCCCCAGGAAGAATCCTTGGACAACACTGTTCCTAAGACCTAACGTTACAATCGTTCAATAACATATTTTCCTGCAAAGAAATTTAGATAGTCAAACATAAGATAATGTGTTCTTTAAAATATTAATGTGTTATGAATAATAGAGAAAAAGATCAGTACAACAAACATCCCTATCAATGACATAGCTTAATGCATTAATAAAAAGGAATGAATAATGTGGTGAAATGTCAAACGGGCAATACCATCTGCTAAGATACTGCACAGAACTGAAGCTAGATTCCTAAATAATACCATTCTCCTCTTCCATTCTTAAGTAAAATGAATTTCAGAGTTGGAAGCTACTTGTGATACTTCCAAAAAGTATGCATTGCTAAACTACTTTATCTGAACCCAATGTTAGTATTAAAATCTTGCTAAATAGAGTGTACAATGCAAAGGAACTCCAGTTAGTTAGCTTTAGGGTTCTCTTGTGCTCATCTAATTCAGTGCAATATACAATATTTTACAGCATGGAAATGTTACATGTTTACAGCATGGAATTGATGTGAAAATCAAGCAGAAATACAGTTTTAATTATCAAAGCCCTAGAAAGGCAATTAACACAGTTTTATATCATATAGTCTTACCAGTTTTAAACATAAAATACTGCAATTTTGAGAAAGTACTTCCTAAAAATGAATTCAGTCCACGCTAGCTGACAAACTCACAAATTCAAAAAGGTAGTAGAGTTATTGCAGCATTTTACCATCCAGCTTCTAGAGGTGAGAGGAATGAACTCCCTGCAGAAAGGAGCAATTTACCAAAAGACCAGTGGAAGATCAATAAAAATCTCCCCAAAGCAGGCAGGTTGTACTTTAGCATATGCAAATGCATTAATAGAAAGACACTGCTACACAAAAGCTGACAGGAATCAAGAGATAGATTGTGCTTGTAAAAACGTTTTCTTTCACCTAATTTTTATTCTGAGGTATTTCTCCTTGCAAGAACCAGTATTAAATCTTTTCAGCATTGAAAACTCCACCACAAGCAAACAACTGAAACCTCAGAATATATTAACATTCCTAATATTAAAATATAAGGAAATAAATTTCTTAATTCAGTAAAATAACCAACTCTGTCTCTCCAGACATTGGATTTGGGTCCTTTGAAGAGTGCTCTTATAAACTAGGAGGCTGTATCTTCTGAGAGAGTTTGCAATCTGAATGCAAACAAGAGAAAGTTAACAGATGGGAAGGAGAATAAAAAAAAAAAAAAAAAAGAAATGGTAAAACTATTAAATCAAAATTGAAAAGCATTATTTATCTGTCTCCTTTGTTGGCACTTCCTAATCTGTCAAACTCAAAGCATAATAAAGAATGTTCAACGAGCAATTACATTCCACATTGTTAAGAGACAGCAGCCTACCTTTGCCTGCTAAGTTCTTACTATCAGCAATGGTATTTACTTTTACAACAGCTAGAAATGTAATGCAAAAAAAATAACAGTAATTTAAGAAAAATCTGACATCCAAAAATAAGAAGCCATTAACACAGTTTTTCTGAACAATTAAAAAAAATAAATCCTCGAACAGAGGAACAATGAATAAAATATTGTAACATCTGGCCACAACATAATAATTTATAAACCTTTATGAGGTTTATAGATACACAACAGCAGAGGATAACAGGCATAAATTAAGGCCTAAGTCTCACATCTTAATTTGCTCACAAACGTGAACAGCAGAGAAATCAGTAACTACAGCATCCTTACAGGAGTTTTCTGTTAGCATCCATCTCCACAAAGAGCCTTCCCCCACACAGGAAATGCACCATGTGGGGAATGCAGTACTTGTGGGCACTCATTTAGAAAACTGGCTTCTCTTTAATTCTGAATTTTCAAAACAGGTCTGCCCTAGACATAACATTTTTAGCAACTTTGTTGACAATGACAACCACCCAACCTTCTGAAGTAACACACTGAAAGAAGTGATGTGGTTTTTAAAAATTCATTCAGAAAAAAGAAGGAAACAGAGGATTGCATCTCTCATGCTCCAAAACTGGTCCTGAAGCCTTGAGGGAGTCAGACAGCACTGTTCCATTTAGAAAATCAGAGAACCTGCATTTGATGATATCCACGGGCAATGCAAGGATGCAAAGCAGTCCTGGCTCCTATTGCATGGGAGGAAAGGATCATGCTGTATGTTAATAAAATCACATTAGTAAAGAGGTTTCTTCCACACATGGCTGCAGTCTTTACAAGGACCATTCACAGAAGGTATTCCAAGAGAAGTATTTTAATACTCACAGGCTTCTTGTAAGAACTTTTCTCTAACGCTGTCTGAGGTGCAGTTTTTACAGGTTTTGATTGCAACAGCCATAGCTGGGTTCTCCTGAAAGACATCAGTGAGAAACAGCTGAAATACAGGACTTAGTTTTTGGTGGGCTGTAAAATCCTACCAAAAGTGCTTTAGAGAAAATGACTATTAACTAAAACATCTTTAATTAAGAAACGACGTTTTGAAAGCTTCAATGATGAAATATTCCTATAATGAAGACACTTCTTGTACAACACTTACACACAGCATGCCTAGGAAATACTGAATCCATGTGGTGCTCAGATGTCACTCACACAAGTTCTCAGTGGGCTGAAAGCAGCTGAAATGTTTTACAATTAAGCTTTTACAGTAGGTATAAGCCTGCCCAAGGCCTGGTACACCTACCTTCCAACCGGGCAACTGGGAGTTGTGCATTGCTTAATGGGAAGACTTCAAATGAACCTTTCTGAAAGGCTGTAATTTTATGTCCTCATGATTTATGTCCTCACGTGGTTTTTAAAGGCCAGTGAGAGCTGAAGATTCACACAGTTATGTTCTATGTCTGCTCATGCTTGTTCTATTTTAAATCTATTTTTAAAAACATCAGAATTAGAGTAATATTTATATTTTGCAGGCTTAAATATCAATTTTCTCAGTTACCTACAACGTATCTCTTCAAGTTGACTTTGCAGGAAAATACTGATTGAAACCTTTTCTCATACAGAAACATACCCATAAAGTGACCAAAACAACTGTGGTAATTTAAGATCATTTTATTCTCTTCTGCAATCTGATTCAATAATGAACACCAGATGACACCTCTGGAGGCCTGCCAGACACATCCCTCTCCTGCTATTACAGATGAAAGTTTTTGAAACATCTCATAAACAACATCAGCATCAAAAGGAAGAGTTTCAGTGCCCAAAACCAGCGAAGACTCCCCACATTTTGCAAAGTGAACACAAAAAAAGGCCTACTATCCAGGGTTTGCTCGTCTTTAAGGAGACACAACAGTGAGGATGTATCAGACTGGCAACAGTTTGTGTACTGACCAGCAAACACTATTTAAGTTATATTTTTGGATTAATCCCACAGTAAATCTACCTCTAAAGGCAGTCTTATTTGAATTGCTGACATCTGAGCAATAGGACCCTATATGTATACACACACTTCCCATTCAGTACCCTATAAATACAGGCTGGTTGTCATGTTTCAGGAGTGTGTAGCAGTAACCAGCATTTGAGAAGAGGTGGATGCTGCACAGTCACTAGGAGAAGAACTTTACAGCTGTAATGGATTTGTAAATGCCATTTTTCAGATTCAAATCTGAGCTAGCAGGAAAAGATGCCATCTTTTCATTTATTTTTTTTTTTTGACATATCCCCTACAGTTTTGCATGCAAGCTGAAAATATACATATAAGCATGGGAACACTATCATGCTATTGTCACTAATCTTGTATCTTTCATAATACACCTTCTAAGAGTGTAAGCTACACTCTGCATCCAAATTTAATTATAACAGCATTCTGTTTTCCCTTCCCATATTCAAGCATCTTCAACATAGTAAAATTTATATTAATGAAAGTAATCAGCAGGTTTCCATTGAAAAAACTCATACTAGACACAGGGTGACTAAATAAAATCTATTTTCTGTTTCAAGAAGTGAAACAGCACAGAAGTGAGATCAGGTTAACCTGACACAGTTGGCAGCTTCTGCACTGAATGCTGCACCTACCCTCAAGTCAGGCAAACACCCATAATATACCATTTGGTGTGGTCCTGAGTAATCTACTGGGTTCTTTTGATTCCTTTCCTGATCTATAAAAAAATGGGGATATAGGAGCAGAAAAACTACTCTGCAGCTAGTTTTCCACTTCTCTGGAACATGGGAAAAATTCTCTATATGCTGATTATTCTGACAAATACATCACAAACTCAACTTTCCTTTGTCCTGAAGACTCAGACCAAAGCACCAAAGGAATACATTTCTTGTTCATCTCGTTTTTCAGCTGGAAAGGTTTTTTGTGTATTTTTGTTGCAGAAGTGAGGCTTACCGGACTCATGTAAACTCCCTGGTGTACATCTCCAAACTGTCCTTCACCAATGCAGCGCCCCAGCTCAATTCTCTCCCTCTGAATTTCATAATCTCTGGCTATAAGAATATAACGCACTTAAAATGTTAAATTTCTGATAAAGGGCAAAGAAACAATCCACAAGATAAGAAACTCCAAGTCAGTCACTCAAATGTCTCACATATGAATAACTAAGATTAAGATTTGCTGCACACCAACCTATACAAATGCTGTAGACACACAGTGGAAACCTCTTAAACTAATGGTTGAACCAAAGCAATGAAAAAGGAAATGTGAAATCTAACTTGCTAAATTAATTACTATGCATTTTTTATTTCAATGCAATAGACAAAATCGAATCCTTCTTAATTATAGCTAGCAAAGGACCAAATACACCAATAGCCTAGGGCAATACTGATGATATTAAATACAGACTTAACACACATCCATCCCTCTAGATGTTTAAGAGAACTCCACTATGTGGTGTTTTAGATCTTGGAACCATCAAATGAGCCCAGAGAATTTTTAAAGAGGTAACTGCAAGAAAAAATAACAGAAACAAGAGCATGGCAAATAAAGTGAAAGAACAAAATTTTAAGTGCACTACACCTCTAATTAAAGGAAAATTGCTATGTTTTGTGGACTTATGCAATTTTGTTAACTTTGAGGTTTAAGAGACTGAGAATGTTACTGATAAAAATGGCTCAGTGCTTCAGCAAAACATTCAATCAATTGCAACTGAATTGCTTCATTTGCAATTTAATTTCTAGCAGACATGGAAGAATACTTCAGGAGTAGCAGAAAAGCACATACAGTATATGTTTTCACCTCTACTTTTATTATTCCGAGACAGAAAGTATAACCAACTAGTTTAGGACTTCATGACTGATGATTTTGACTTCATTAACACTAAAAAAATAACATCATCTGGAGCTGGATAACAAAGCAATAAATGTCTTTGTTATTTCTTTTTTTTAAGTACTGCATTTTCCTCTTTAAAATCCCGAAGCTAACTGGTTTAACTATAAAGAAATAATGTTTATTAAATGAAAGTGAATAGTAAACTTAAAAATTCCACATCATTCCAAATTGCAAGCACACAGGGATGGGTAAAGGGTCTCCTGTTACCTTCATCTATTCCATAGCTTTCTGCAGTGCAATTAAGAGAAAAATCAAATGCTTACTTAGAGCTTCTTAAAATCAAGACAAGGACAAACATTTTTAAACACTTTTTTTGAAATGAATATACTGATGCAATTTTAAGTTTACATTAGCAGAAGTCACAGGTCTGTTCTTGTGATCTTTACTGACTCAGTCCTTCGAGAGCTGAACACTTGAGCTGACTTCAATCCACCAAAACACTTCAGGAAGTTCACTTCAACAGCCCATCTCAGGGGCTTTGAATTGAAGGCATACTTAAGTATTCAGCATCATTCAGGGCTGGGCCCACAAGTACTTATTTCCATGAGAATTTAAATGAAAAGATGAAAAAAAAAAAAAAAATCACATAAAGTTATTATGTTAACAAAAAATAAAGGATATAATTTATCACAGTACTTTTTGATCTTGCAATTATTTTAGTAGCATCACGTAGTGACTTACTGCAAGACATTCAAAACACATTGTTTATTTCTGGAAAACATATATTTTTGCTTTTCAAGTATTTATGTTCAAATATATATGTTTTTCAAAACATATATTCTTGCTTTTCAAATATTTTCCACAGTAGTGGAAACTATCTTGTAAACTCTTAAGTGATTATGAAACATTCCTGCCAGATGGTAAACTCTAGAAATCCTTATTTATGTCATGGTTCTTCAACAGAACGTGGTACCAGCTTAGCACCACCCTCCCCCCTTACACTAACCAAACCAAACATTTTTGTAGGTCTGTGTATCAATGGATTGTCTACTTCTAGAGGAATCCTTGGTTGCCACACTGCAACTGTAATTTCGCAGACACAAGTTTTAAAATCAGAAAACTAGACTTTCATGTTACATATCAGCCTTGACAGTTCAAGGTTATACTATAATTCAAATATCCCACAAGACAAAAACCTTGTGGTGGCTAGTGAATCATCATTTTTTACTTCAAAGATGAAGATTCAGAAGAACTTTTTATTTTTGTTCCTCAAGTCTTTCATCTTTAACAAAATTGCATGTGGTACAAACAACCTTCCTCTAGCATGGAATTTGAGAGCAGCAAGTCTGTCAGAGCAAGGGTGAGACACATTTACACAGCAATACACAGAAGCTTCCAGATTGCTTGCTCTTATCACAGAAATCTCATCTGTTCTGTAAGTGTTGCGTTCGGCATCACAATAAAAAAAAATGCACATTCTGAGACATAAAAGGAATTTCACTTTGCAGTCACTGACAGCAGCAAAACAGAATTTGGTTTTATTTGCCTCAAAACCTGAACTTGAAAAACACTCAATCTATTGAATCTGTGAGTTTTCCAAACATCATAAAGAGTATTTTCTTTGTACACATAATACTTAAGACTGAAATTCAAGATTCAGTCCCTGCTAAACCAAAGAAGCTTTTGGATAGAAAAGTTCCTGAGTTAATGACCATACTTACTTGATGGCATTGTGTAAGTATCTTCTTCATCTATAATCTCTGCATAGTCATCTGTCTCTGTAAAGGGAGGAATTGAAGAGTTTCGGGGAAAGCAGATGAAAACAATTCTCCAGAACAGTTCTCCAATTTATCAAGGCTGTTATGTCACAACCCCCAACCTCAACACTGCTGGGACACGTTTACAATAGCATGAATAAAACTTGCTCATGCATAATTTATGGGTATGATAATCTCCTCAGTGCCAATTATTCTACGTCACATAGATGCATTCAACAAGGAATAAAAGGAAGATTCATTTGTGTTCAAAAAAGTTCAAGTTCCATAATTTAAACCCATCTAAACACTTGACTGAAAAAGAAGATCTTTTTAGCAGCAAATTCCACTGCAGTAAGGAGAAAACATTATTAACTGGTTAAATTGCTTTACCTTCAAAAAAGTGTGACTAAGAGTTTGCTAGGGTTTTTTTTAATGTCAAACAGGTAGAACAGACAAGGAAGATGTTCCAGGGCAGCATCTAGTGTCACTGTGATAAAGTGGGTTACTTTTCAAGAGTCTTCTAGAGCTTAAAGATCTTTTAAGTCACTCTTCTTAAGCCTTACACCCTTTTTTTTTTTTTTGCATTAGTCCCAGTTTTCCTTGTTTAGTGTAAACTCACCAGCAGTTTTGCTGTTAAGAATCAACATCTCATGGACAGTCTTTGAAAACAACCAGTTCTCAAAATTTTCAGAAACATGACAGTGTATTTCTTTTCCAGTTTAAAACTTAGAACTTTTATATCATCTGTTCTCAAAATGGTTTCCATGTTGTCAAGTCTTATCATAAGGTTCCCCTCTGACTCTAGAGAACTTCCAGGGTGAGCAGGTTGCTCCCTAACAGTCAGATAAATTCCTCCAGGGGTTACAAAATCCATCCACAACAGTGGGATAACTTTTAACTTCAACACTCTTAAATTGACCAACTTTAAATGCATACAGAGGCTCTAAAAACTGAGTAATTTCAAATCCAGTATGCAGTTTTCATGGTTGCTTTCAGGTGATCACATATTAGGCCCCCTCTAAAAGGCATGATTTAATCCCCCTTTTTCCCCATCTGCCCTGGAGCATACACATCCCCCTACAGCTCCCTGGCACCATTTCTAGAGGTAATGGTTTCTGAATGGCAAACGGGACAAAGCCACAGTGAGACTGGAAGGAAGGATGGGATGATCCCTTTTGGCAGCAGCCCTCTGCTCAAGCAGCTTAAGCCAACTCTGAAACCAGAGCAAAGCTCCTAAATATTATACACATACATAAACAAGAGGCTTAATTTTCAGACAAACTGAATATTTAACAATTAAGAAACTAAAGGTTGCCTAGAACCTTTGAAGTTCAACACGCTTCAGTGAGTAAATGTAGCTTTACAATTCAAACTTCATAATGTTTGTATACAATTGAAGTTATTTTTATTTTTAACTCCTGTAGGAATACACCATGTCTTGTAAAAAAAAATATCAGGAAACTCTATGGCATTTAGATTTTCCTAGGAAATTCTATTTAGGACACAGCAGAACAGAGTCACCTACTGAAAATTCAATTAGTCATAAAGACAGTGCACAATTCTAATCAGGCAGCATACTCCAGAGGCACTAATCTCTCAGTATCTTTTGTCCTCCCTACTTTATAAACTAATTCTTTTGTAGAAAATAAGCCCTGGTTTGATCTAAAAAATAAGCCTCTGTTAGAAATCATTAGTGTGACACCAAGGTGACAGGGTAAACCGCTCTGCTTCCCAGTGATATTGGGGTAAGATGCTTTTAAGTGTGGTGTATATATAAAGCTAGTATTCGAGGATACCAGAAAGTTCCCAATCCATGTAAAAAAATGGACTGAATAAAAGATGTTATAGACATATTTGAGACAAATTTTAAAAGTGTGGAAACTAGAACTGGTCTGTAAAAAATCAAAACAGTTCTTGCACTAGATTATGGAACAGAGCTCACAAAAAAAGGTGACAAATGGCTTGGCTTGTTCATCTCTCTATTATAAATGTATGAAGCTAATTCATAATTAAAAGCATTATCAGAACACTTCACATGGTCTTGAACTGTCCTGAAACTAAAATGGTCTTTAGTAGCCAATCCAAATGAATTAAATGTAGGCAATTAACTAAACAAATACTTCTTGTTACATACTTGACACTCTGGAGATTAATATATAATAAGAATTCAGAAAATAATTCCTATTCAATGTCTGGCATTGTTTCTGGGAATTAGATGAAAATTCAATCAAGGCATTAGCACTGATACGCTCAAAGTGTTCTGCAGGAAAGCTTAACTGACCTCCCTCACATGCAGCCTTGACCACACAAGAGTCATATGCACTGAGACTCTTGCCAAGTCTGCCAAGAGATAATCCAAATCCTACGTGGAGTCTAAACAAAACTCAGCCTTGCAAGGCTCTCCAGACTGCTCTACACAGAATGTGTTAGTAGCAGTCTCAAGAGCTAAACACTCAAAACAAATCAGCAATTCCAGTTGTTGTTCTATCTTCCAAGGCCCTTGGTAAGTCTAGAAACACTTAGATTTAAAAACAGGATTCATTACTGCTGCTCTCTTGCACATTTTAAAACCAGCACTGAACCTTTTCACTTGTTGGGTGACCCCCAAATTCCTCTAGATGGAAAAACAACTAGGTCACTTTTGGACTAAGGTTGTGTTGGTGGTACAGGTGAGTGAGCCAATTTGAGCTTTACTAAATCTGCATGCATTTATTAAACAGTAGAAAAAAACTACTCTAGGACATGAAATCCATACTAGCTAATCCATGACCATAACCATCTCTTTGAAATTTCCCTTTTCATGGTTTTTTTTTTTTCCCCCCCATTCATCAGAGCCCGTAATTTATAACAGAAAATAAGCACCAATAAAAGGTTGAGTTAGTATCTGAAATACAATTTCTGAATTTATGATAGAAAAAAAAATATATCCTTTCCATTTTTAATGTTTAAAAAAAGAAAGAAAGAAAAATGGGGTAGTAGACTCTTTTGATTTATATCTGAAGGACAGAAAGCTGATGAGAAGTTATGCACCCTCTTTACTGAGAAGAAAGCCACAAGGTGTTATCTCTATTTCTTCTTATCTCCTTTCTTTGCATACTGCTTTTTATGCCCTTTTAGTTCCTCCTACTTTTAACACTATTAATAGTAGCAGTTTGATTTTCTTCCAACATCAGAATCCTTTAGAATAACAGTTAAAAATCTTCAAAAAGAAAAAAAATATATCCAAACACCAGTGTGTTTTCAGAAGACACAAATTAGTATTTTCTAGAAAAAAAAAGACTTATAAAGTCCAGGAAAGTTACGTGTTTTATAATGAGTTTTAAAGCTTTCAAGAAAAACATTAACACCTGGTCTTTAAAATCAGTAGCTGAAATGTGATTAATATTTCATGTAGTCAATCTACATCAATTTATCTTGTACAGGTTCTTTTTCTGCAAGGAGCTGTAGTGGACTACAGAGCACTTTGATGCTACCAGGCCTTTAAAGCATGGCTTATCAGACTCATTTCTCATGTGTTACATCCATTGATCTCACTCCCTCCCCAAAGCCAATTCTGTGATACACCCACTTCAAACAGACACTCCTGTAGACCTATAAACCTTCTCTGCATCATGCCAGCACTGTCATTGCAAACACATGCAATACCACAGCCTTGCATTGTTTGAAATGGTTTTTCCAATTCCACTTTAGCAGAAAGCGTTAGTTGCACGGTACAATACAGTATTTGTTGGCTGATGTCCAAAGCAGACTGCTTTTTACTACTAAAATCTGTATGAAATTTATTACTGAAATGTGCATTAAGTGGTATATGGATATAAGAGTTGCATATTGCACGTTAGTAACACAGACTAGAAAACATATTACCGTCCCCACTAATTTCATCTGCAGATCCAGGTGGCATGCAAGGAAAGAGAAAAACAGAGGGGGAGAGAGAAGGGACAGAGAAGGGGGAGGGGAAAATACACTATTAAATTCATGAGTAATCCAAAAGTATTCAGACTGCAGTTACATTATACACCTGACTCAAGAGAAACCAGAAAAGTAGCAGAATTTAAGACTTCTCACCTAAAACCCAAGGGACAAAGGTACATTCTAAGAAGCTTGTATGATTAAACAGAGTTAATGAATTTCAAACATATATTTACACCAAAATTAAATTTGGGAGTGGAACTATTTTAATGCAGTTGAGAAACGCCAATTTCTGGTTTAAGTCAATACTTCACTGCAAGATAGATCCCCTATGGCTAGACAAGTCAGCCCAGTTTGACTTTCCACACACGCTTATGACTTTGGGTAACTAGAGCTGGTGTTCACCCTTTCCAAGGAAATTCAATCCTGTGCTATCATGAAGACATGAGTAAGAAATGGAACCATCTAAACAGTAATCATACAGAGCACATTGCAATTATACAAAGCTAAAATTTAAATGAATGGCAAACAGAGCAGCTCTACTGGGAAGCTGTTCAAATGAGCACCATATTCCACATTTATGGCAGCAGCCCTATTCCACACCAATACTCACAGCACAAGCTAATGCACTTTAGACATTATTTATATACGAAAGGAAAATGAGCATTAATGTTGTAAAGTAATGCATGTATTACTCCAATCCTTCTTACCCCTAACAAAGCCAAACTGGCCCAGACCAAACGCTGAACCAGCACGCAGCCAAAAGCATCGCTGTATTCAAGGTTTAATTTAAAGTGGTCTGAGCTGATGCTTATTGTTGCTACTCCATTTCATTCACAGGCATGCTGTATCAGGGGTCCAAGAATGAAGTGAAAATAGAGTAACCAAAACCCCTGCGGGTATACAGGGGCTGCATACATTCATTTAATTCATACAAATGAAATTAAGAATACGTTTGTCGTTGTAAAATATGATGCTTAAAATGAAGTCCCCCACAAAAACGGGGACCAGCAAGTTTGTGACACCACATGAAAATCCAATTCAACAGGAGGAAAGAGGGAGCAGAAATTTAATGAAAGTATTCTTGGAACTCTGTTTAGCTGAGGCTAAAGTAGTAAAAAACCAGTGACTGCGTTAGTATGTTCAGCTTTGGGGTTAACAAGGCAGCCCTAGGCAAAGAGCAGTGCAGTACCCTTAGGCGGCGGCTCATGGGAACAGAAGACGAAAGGGAGAAAGCGTCTAGCTTTCTTTACTTTATGCTGACAGTGATTGACTCCTTTACAAAGAGGCAAGAAAAGGAAAGAGAAAAAACAGAAAAAAATTATTTGGAAATAAAAGAAAAGAGACCGGAGAGAACATCTACAAGGAACGAACACAGAAGTCAAAGTTCACATTACAATTCTGTATACGCGACTGAAGCAGTGAACGTTGTTCAAACTCTAACGCGTATTTGGTGTTCTCCTTCAGGTGTGTTCCTACAGCAAAGTTATTCCCATTTCCATTTTTAAAAGTCAGACTAGAATCCATTAAAAAGTCAGCTTTTGCAGCTAGAGATACCATCCATTGACAACACAAAGAACATTGTCTGTCCCAGAAGCGTAACCCACTTTTGCAAGTTCTACTGGGCAGTGCTAGAACTGAATTCTGACTGAAGTGGCAATCACCAGACTTAGAGAGGGACATATTGACTTTCTGAAGCTTTAAAAAGAACTTAACACAAAACAAGTGTTTCACATTGCAGTGTTACATAGAACAAGGAAAAACACAGTTTCTCTGTCCCTCTGAAATACAACAGTGACATATTTTTTGATCTGAAATGTGCCACCGGAGTTTTGTCCCCCGTGCAGACCCGTCTTGCCAACTGATTTTCTAACTGAGGATCTCTGGGCAAACGCCACATGGCACTGTCCTCACTGCCCCCTTTTCTAGTCACTCCAATGCATTTAATTAGCCCTACCAGGAGGAGAGAGATTTTTGAGTAGAAGACACAAAGGAGCCACAACTGATTTCACAAGGTGAGAAAGAAGGACACAAGATGATTCTAAGAACCTGAAGATAGCTGCTCCTTAAATTTCTCTTGTAATCTGCTTGCTCCTCTCTCCCTTCCTCTTTCCCCTCTCTCAGGAAATGTGAGAAGTGGTTTAAAAAGCCATTCAGCTAAAAACCTGCATCTTGTTGATGGTAGTCCTTCACAGTCAAAACTCAAAAGCAGGGTCAAGCCACCTTGAGTTACACAGGCTGGAGGTAGAGGTGTTAGAAGGGAAGCCCTGCACCACAGGAGCCACATGCTGGCACATACAAGTCAGTGGTGGAGGGAGTGAAGGAAGGGTGGAAGAGATGTACCTTTGGATAAAAATAATTTCACATTTTTTTCATAGATCCTGGAAACCTAAGAACCACCAAAGCAGCTGTACTTACATTGCTTGTCAAATTTTACTCATACAAATCTGATAGGTAACACATCACTATGTACAACCCATTCTTTGCTAAAATGGCAATTTTAATCCAAAATTGAAATAAGTGGGTGAGATTTATCTTTGTATCCCTACCAACAGAAAAGTACTGGGGTGATTAAACAGAGATCATTCATCAGCTATGAAAATGTACATGCCATTGAAAATGGCAGAACATTAATCAAATTCAGTGCTAAAATCTACAAGAGGTACAAGAAGAGGGCAAAATTAAGTTAGTGTATCAGTATTTCCATGTATACCACATTACTGCAATCCTAAGGACTTACCTTCCTAACATCTCAGAGTACAATTTTCAGTGCTATCATCCTAACACCAAAACCAGAGGCAACATTCATAAAAAGCTTCAGACATAGTATGAAAGAAATGAAAACAATACTACAGCTATTTTAGGAGACCACTGAAAAGGAACTGAAATGAGAATAAAGGAATCCGACACCCCGTACTGGAACAGGAGACCAGGTATACAGTCACTGGAAACAATGCAAGCTGTCTACAAGGGAAGAGATGTTTCTACTCTTGACCTGTCTCTGCTCAGGCTACAGAGCTAATTTAAGTCTTAAGTGCTGAAATGCTGTCCACTCTTACACAGATCCATGGGCAGCAGAAGCTGCCTGAAACCTGAGCAACCTCTTTCCCATGAAGAGCACAGTGAAATGACTAAATGACAAAGGTGGTTTTAACTCACCATGCACATGTCCTGATGCCCTGTGATATACTCTGCAACTCACCTTCTGCTTTTCAAACTTTGTCTTTATGATTTATTGTCTCAAGTCTGTTCAAGTATTCTGCCAAACTAAATAGAAGATGAGCAGACCTGTCATAAACTTACCAGATCTTCAAGTCTAGCTACAAAAACAAAGTTTATTTAGGTAACTCTCTTTTTTTTTTTTCAGGAGCTCAGAGAGTACCTACTTGAAACAAGCACAACTAAGGATTTCCACCATTCCACTGTCTTCCAGCCAGGATATCACTGACATCTACCTAAATGCCCAAAGAGCTTTGAAATACCGCTGAAGACTTCACTGGACTTCTTGTTTTATTTGGTTCCTCCTCTGAATGCTAAGTATTCACTAAAATTGTTGTGTATAAAAAGAAAAATCACTTGCTATGCAACAGACTGTGTTAGAGAACAAGTGACCAGGTTAGAGGACAGTTACTACTAAAGCTCCTTGTTAGGACTGTATGATTAGATAACCAACACTGGAAGGCTGAAACTCATTATTTCCCATTCTATTTCAGCTGTACATCACTGAACTGTTTTAAGGAAGAATCCTGAAAAAAAAGTCTGTATAAGGAAAAAAATCTAACTCTTCTACCAGTGACAGGGACTGAAGAAATCAAGGCAGTAGCTTCCTAGGCACTGATATGGAGGAAATCTGTTTAGGCTGCCTCTACACTTCATTCTGGTCTTGGACATGATAAGAAGCACTTTAGTCAGTCTAAAACGTAAAAAGCTAACAACACCAGTCAATTCAACTGTCACTGAAAGTATTGTAACCAAGTAGCTTCCTAGGCACCGATATGGAGGAAATCTGTTTAGGCTGTCTCTACACTTCCTTCTGGTCTTGGACATGGTAAGAAGCACTTTAGTCAATCTAAAATGTAAAAAGCTAACAACACCAGTCTCTTCAACTGTCACTGAAAGTATTGTAACCTATTAATATCAAGGGTATTTTAAACTATTATCTTATTAATCAGAATAGCTGTGTGAGTTAAGAAGCAAGTAACTTTCTTTGTGAACTTGGGAGACTAATGACTTCCTCAAGGTTTGCAAAATTAATCTGCAATAAACCTTAGGCTTGAACGTCTCCCAGTCCTGTGACCATGTGGCACAGCTCCAGCTCTACAGAGCCTTTATACCCCTATAATTATTTATGTAATTACATAATTACTACATGCTAAGACTTTGGGTTTCTCTTCTGTTAGTTTATGTTAGTCTGATGCATACTGCTTATGTCAGTAGTTCAGAAGAAGTGAGCTGCAGAGTCTGATGTAATTGAACGAGCAGACACAGTCATGAGCACTCAAGATATACTTTTTCTTCTTAAAAATTTACTTGCACTTTTCAGCATTGCCTTTTTGGAGGGATTTGATAAAATGAATATGAAAAAGCCCACAACTTTACAAACTCAAGCAAAGAACACCTTTTTCCCCTATCAACTCACCCAAATGGAATTAGGACATACAAGTCCTACACAAGAAACTCTTTCAGAGCTGAGCACAGGGCAGACCTTCATTTTGGGCACAGGAAACACACACTGTGCTGTGTCAGCAGAAACAATCCAATCACATCTTCTCTTTCCATCCTTGGTCACAGCTCTGCTTGTGATTAGACCTCATCATTATGATAATGTATGTGATTAGCCCACATACATTCAGACCCTTTGGTATGCTCCTACCTCCTTCACTAAGAACACTTTTCATTGCTATGGCACTGAAGTAAGGTGAATATATTTAGTGTTTTTTTTCTCTCCTGTTTGTTGCGTTTTGACATTTGGCCCTTGCTATATTTCAGTTTGTCCTAGGTAACTTACTGGAAATCTCTCTCACAGATGAACTATACCACATAATTTTTTTCTGCACGCTAAAATATCTCACTTCAATCACGCTTATCATTCAAGAGATGTTTTTTTTTCACTCAAATTGAAATCTTTGTTAAGTGATATAACTAAATTGGCAACTACTTCCAACTCACAGTCTGCTCATCAGAAGAACGCTCATGTCACTTCACTGCCATGATCAGAAGTTAACCACAGTAAGTGAGTTAAGTATGATGATATTATACTATAAATCTGTGATTCTAAGGCAGAACCTGGAAACTTGTCAAGAAGCCCTTCTTCCAGGATGCTAAAGTCCTTCAGCACCTATAAGAAAGCTCCCTCCAAAAGACACAATTTCTCCTTTGCCTATTACTGGATGTATCTAAACCATGAGGTGTGCTTGTAATTTCTTACAGAGTCTCTGTAAGCAAACTAATTTCCTTTTTTCCCCCCCCTCTATTCAGAGGCAATGGCACAGCAGCACTATTAGAAACTTGTACCATTATTACCATGCACTTACAGCTACACCTCTTTTCACTTTTAAATGCAACCTGTGTTAGTGACAACAGCCACACCAGCTAGTGAACAAGATGACAAATTTCTATTAAAGGCATGTGTCCTGGCATTTGTTACTGAGATGACTTGAACAGTCTGTCTTAACATCTGAAACTGGGACTATGTTTTTGAATACTGTTCATTTTCCATCACCAAGTAAGCACATACTAAAGCTGCAAACTCTGCACCCGCTTTGAACCAAGCAGGTCCTAAAAATTCCCTCCAGACATATGTCCTGTGCTGGGTCCTGCAGAACTTCTTCCTTATTGTCATCTTTCCAGTTATAGCTCCCTTCCCAAAACCATGTTATTTTTTCAGCAGTACCTGAATACCCACATGTCAAGAGCTACTAGTTAGAATCACAGAATCGTTTAAGTTGGAAAAGACCTTTAACATCATCAAATCCAACTGTACACCTAACACTGCCAAGAACCCAGCACTGCCAAGGCATGTTCAATACTCTGCTTGTTCAATACTCACTGAAGCAAGTGGGTCTGAAAGGTCCTATTCTGCAGCACTGCATGTGAAGTAATGTTTGAGCTACTACTAGAAAAATTTATGTCCATGGAACTCTCTCGTGCAAAGGAGCCACAGCCACTAGCCAAGGGATGCAGAAGTGTATTTATTCTTCCCAGTCATATTTATATAAGCGAGGATGGGGCAGGAGAAATCAAAGAACTCTCTGTCAGAAAGAATTTATGTAAAAAGGGAGCAAGCAAACTACGGCTTTATTTATTTGATTTTATGAAGAACTTTTTATAATATATAATTGGCTACGTAAATTATTATTTTTGGAAATATGTGTATCAGGAAATACACATATCACCTTACTAAGGCTAATGTTTGCTATTTCAAAACAAGCTGCTGGTCAAAGTCAGTTCCTGGAGACTAGAGCAGGTCATTTTAATAAGGTGACTCCAAGCAAACCAGCAGGAAATGTAGCCAGTAAAATTACAGTAACCTGGTACACTGCTTCTTAAAAATTTGATGTGCTCTTTGCACAGAGCAAATCATTTAGCCTTACTGCTTCCTGAGTGTATACTCTCAGCCAAGCAAAATAATTCCTTTTTAATGTAAGACAGAAGTAAAGGGCAAAGGAGATAAAAGGTGGAACTACCTACCACTAAAACAGTCATTGCTTCTGGTCAATCACAGTCACTTAAACCAAAACATCAGCTGTCTAACAAAGAAATCTAAAATCCAGCTAATTTAATTTGGCTTCTGATTTATATTTATTTATAATCCTACACACATGCAAATGTAGAATTTGAGGGACAGAATTATTACTGTGCTCTTAAAAATGGGGGAAATCTGGCAGGCATCTTACTTGCACACAGTGAAAGACAGTGCCCACTGCAAGGAACATGTAATCTGAAGAAGCAAGGCAGACAAATAACACCAGAAGAAACAGAAACAGAAGCATGCAGTAGGAGGTGTGTGGTGAAACCTGGTTCAGTGACACAAAGCCGTCAGAAAACACTTCTTGGCACCCAGGTCCAGCAATCTGCTGCTTTGGATTCCTGAAACCAACTTCACCCTTCACTAGTTTGAAAAGGCCTTTATTTAGAGCAAAAAAAAAAAAAAAGGGGGATTTAAAAACTTTCTATCTTTGTATGTTTTGGAATATTGAAACAAACTTGGGATGAAAAGTTTGCATTTCACTAGACCAGAAATATTTCAGAGTAGGTTAATAAATATTTCAAAAAGAAAGACAAGGTGTCTTTCATTAACAGGCTCATTTTTAAACCTACAAAACTTCAAATACTGATTTTAGACCACCAAATCATATTTCACACATCCTTCTAGCTGTTGCTTGTTTCCCCAGACTGTGGTAGGGAATTCTGTGAAACTTTTCCTTAGAACTAAGGGTGCTGATACTACAAATATGTCTCCCTGCTTAAATTTCCTGCCAAAGGTCCATCTCAGAATTTTGCTATCCAGCTCTTGCATCGGGAGAGGTCTAAAAAAAGAGGAACCAGCCCACTGAAAACAAACTGCAGAGCTAATTTATGATTTAAACCATCAAGGGCGTGACAGATGTTACAGCTGTCGGTGAGTTATAAAAGGTTGTCTTATTTGAAGCCCTTAGCTCCGAGTCATTTAAATGTCACCAGAGAAAAGCTCTTATTTTGCAAACCAAGATAGCATCACCCACAGCTGGCTCTGCACTGGATGCTGTCAGCTGTCAGACTCTGCTGTCCTGGAAGCCCTGGGTTAACCGAACATTCTGTACATCTGTTCCATACTGATGGATCAGTTACATGTGACAACAGCAGTGACACTTCTCCGCATCTACATGAAGTATTACTTCATTTATAACAAGCTGATTCCTTTGGGGACTCAGAGATTCTTACAGAAAGCACCTCCTGAGGAGAACCCTTAGCATGCAACTTCATGTCAACAATCTGTCTGTGGTTTAAATTTAATACACTGACATCTGTGCCATATTCAATGTATTTCAAACAATTTTGGAGAAAAAAAAAACTCCAAACCAAAAAAGTATGTCTGCATTCTAGGTATCTTTATTATATTAAAAGAAGAACAAACCCTTGGGACTGAATAATAAATGCAATGGCTTGCATCATTCCAGTATTACGTCAGTGTTTCCAGTGGTTTGTGACACAGTATAAAACAGCACCAAGCACAATGATTTCGTTGTGGACAGACAGAAAACCTTTATTGTGGACAGACAGAAGACCTTACTCCAATACAAGAAAAACACCTAATTGGTTTCGATTTTGATATTAGAAGAGAAGGAAATTTCCTGGTTATGGCCTCAGGAGCCATCTTTGCACCTTACAGCTTCCTTGACCTTCACTTGTGCGACCAGCTCATCTCCAGCACTGTTACTTCTGTTTCTTCTGTGGTGTTCTCATTTGTCCATCATGCACCTTTATGTGACACCCTGAATGCCAGGTATTATATCTGTGATATTATAACTTAACTTCCCTACATTAATAACAAAATAATACTTCAAGTGAGTAGAGAAGCAGCAAGTTTGTGCTGAGACACAAACATACTTCAGATAGAAAGCATCAAGCAAAAGACAGCAAAGGTTGCAAAGTCAGAGTGACAGCAATAAAGAATGATGAAGGAAGCTTTTAATTACTGCTTTTAACAGTAAAATTATAGCAACAATCTTAGAAAAACTGAAAGGGTGCAAATTTGAGGTAGCAGGGAAGTATGTCTTTATTTTGTCCTCAGATCAGCTTTTTTTTTTGTCTGAGTGGAGTGATGCAAAAGCAGAGCACTGATCACTGCAGAAATTTTAACTTTTTTGAACAGCTAAAATAAGCCACACAGGTAAGAACCAAGAAAGGACACACTGACCATGTTCCATGCTTATCTACCTTATCTACCATGCTTGCCTGATAGGCACTGAGAGAAGAAGAGCTGCTATCTGAGAGGTAACAGGAACTGATGAAGCTCTATTACACCTCTGCAGCTTGATCCACATTTTAATTCCAGATCCTCTCATCTATTTTCTTGCACAAGGTCTGTTTACTTGGGTTTCCTATGCCAAGAGCTGAATCTCAAACATCTTTAAAAAAAGGTTAAAGGTGGGGAAAGGAATCCGAAAAATAGGAAATTAATCAAAAACCTACATATCTTTCCTCCTGCTTGTATGATATATGGTGGTTTCTGAATGTGTGCCACTAAGCACTCCCATAAGTGTTAAAGCTGGGCTTTAGCCTCCCTCTAAGTCAGGGGTGAGGGGTGGACACTCCTCTGGGTCACATTACTGGTTCCTGATGCTTGTGGCCAAAAAAATCTATAGGAACATATCATAACATTAATACACTTCTGCACTGAAAAAACTCCTTAATAAATATTATTAAGATTTAGAAAGAGATTTACTACCAAGACACTAAATCAGTCCCTCAAAAGGATTTAAGATTCTGTAACAGAGAAACATACAAACACTTAAGAAACCCCACAGTAACTAACAGCAATCCTAGAGGCCTGTAAGGTATAGAAACATCTATTACCTCACATCCTTCAATTAACTTGTGATTTTCATTAGCAAAAATTAAGTGCTTTGATGTAAACAGCAGCTAAAAAACCCCAGCTATTAAGTTTCTTCACTACAAAAACCAACGATTAATATGACATTGCCTATTTTCACTTTTCAAAGCCATGCTTCATAATTAACACATGCTCAGGTAATTTAAGTTCAAGCCCATGATACTGTATTCATTGCAACACGAAGGGAAAACACTGACAAGCTGCTTTGCTTTGAAGCATCCTGGCCCTGGGTTACTGCAGGGATAGGGCCGATCTCACAAGTGACACCGCGCAGGAGAGCTGCAGACAGCTTCTCTTGAGAAACTGCACTGCAAGGGCAGCACAGCTATGGGCTTGGGAAAGCCAGCCATGTACCAAGGAGGGAGCTGACTGTGAGTGGAAAACCTGCCTGAGCATCTGCTAGCTTTAGAAACAAACTTGCATATGTATTTTTTTATGAGCCTTACCTGACACAGAGACTGTGTGTGACCGCACTCCTTGCTTCTCATTGTTGGCCAGCCTGTAAAACAGAGGTTGGAAGCGCTGAATGCTGTACATTCTTCACGGTCACATACACTGGGAATTCATCCTAACAGGGCACCTACTGTAATTAGCAGGGCCAATCCATTTCCCACAGTATCACATTTTGAGGGGGAGAAAAGTCAGAAAGGAATCTACCATTTCAAACCCATCTAGGGGAGTAAGAGCGGAGAGAATGTGTTACCATTTTAATTAGCCTGTTGATTCACAACAGAGCAAATTTCAAGGAAAAAAGCCCAAACCTAAGTTTCAGAAACTTTTAAGATCAATTTGTGCATGTCTAAACTTTGTCAATGTATGTAGCTTGATGGTGGTTCTACTTTCTGTGTTACAGGACCAGGATTCGAGACCTGCCTGCAGCCTCCCTGCTTCCCCCCACACCGTCTTATGGTCAGACTTCAGGATCTTGAAGGTCTTTTCCAACCTAAATGATTCTATGATTTACAGAATCACAGAATGGTAGGATTTGGAAGGGACCTCTGGAGATCAGCTAGTCTCACCCTCCTGCCAAAGAAGGCTCACCTAGGGCAGGTTACATAGGAACACATCAGTTTTGAAAAGTCTCCAGAGTTTTGAAAGTCTCTACACAAGAAGACTCCACCAACTCTCTGGGCAGCCTCTTTCAGGGCTCTGGCACCCTCACAGAAGTTTTTCCTAATGCTGAGGTGGAACTTCCTGTGTTCTAGTTTTTGCCCATTGCCCCTTGTCCTACCACTGGGCACCACTGAAAAGAGACCAGCCCTGTTCTCTTGACCCATGCCCTTCAGATATTTATAAACGTTCGTAAGATCCCCTCTCAGCCTTCTCTTCTCCAGGATAAACAGCCTTTGCTCTTTAACAGAGATGCTCCAGTCCTTTAACCATCCTTGTAGCCCTTCGTTGGACTCTCTCCAGTAGTTCCCTGTCTCCCTTGAACTGGGGAGCCCAGACGTGGACACAGTACTACAGACATGGCCTCACTAGGGCCGAGTAGAGCGTGGTGACAACCTCCCTTGACCTGATGGTCACACTCTTCTTCATGCACCCCAGGAGACCATTTGCCCTCTTGGCTACAAGGGCACATTGCTTTCTCATGGTTAGCTTGTCCTCCAGGACTCAAACATCCTTCCCCATGGAGCTGCTTTCCAGTAGGTCCACCCCTAACCTGTACTGGTGCAGGGGGTTATTCCTCCCCAGGTGCAGGACCCCACACTTGCCCTTGTTGAACTTCATGAGGTTCCTCTCCACCCAGCTCTCCAGCCTGTCCAGGTCTCACTGAATGGAGCCACAGCTTCATGGTCTACCAGCCACTCCTCTGAGTTTTGTGTCATCAGCAAACTAGCCAGCTCTCAATCCACCTCACAATCCACTCATTAACCCACACTTCCTGAGCTTACCCACGAGGATGGCATGGGAGACAGTGTCAAAAGCCTGGCTGAAGTCCAGGTAGACAACATCCACTTTCATCTACCCAGCTAGTCACACACGTTTACTGCAAGTAAGGTATTGAGTTTTCATCTGTAAGATGACCTACCCTGTACAACAATTTCAAACTAATTTTCATGTCAAGTAAATAAATTTAAACATAGTTAGCTACAGATGCTTATTAGAAACAGAAATTCCAATGAATTATTTAAATTTTATGTACATACAGAATCATAATTTTAATGGTGAGAGAGCAAGAGCACTGCACTTCATGCTTCCAGAAACTGGGAATTCCATCTGGCAAAGGCAAACTTTTCCAGATGCAAGATGGTGTTGGCTACTAGTTTCACATATCTGACCAAAGCCCAATCCCCTGCTGCCAGCCTGAGACCATATGCTGTGCTTTTGTTTAAACAGACTCAAGCATACAAATTCTGTTTCGGGAAACAGTCCCAAAAATGGGAGGAAGCTTTTCCCTCAGACCTGATTTTATCACAGAAATCCTTACAAATAAAAAAAAAGAGGATTAAATGTATGCAATTAGAGAGTTCTTTTGTGTTTCTCAGTTTTATCTATTTAAGCAAAAACAAATTTTCCTCTTCCATGAGTGCACGCCAGGTTTACCAATTTTACCACTTCCACTCCTCTATCACTTGACTTTCATTTCCTTTCCCTCCCTGCATTTTAACTCCTCTGTTTCTGCATCATGAGGAAACTACCTGGCTAGTGAGGACTGCAGCAGGACCTGTGAAGGAATAGCAACCACTAGTATCTAAGTGGCTGATTTAACGCAGATTCAGAAACAAACTGTGTTCCATACTTCATCCAACAGTTAAAAAAGTAATAATAATGCTGGACTCCTTCCAGCAATCAAGGAAGAAACAGAATAAGGCAGCTGGGTCAAAGTAGGCACAGTCCTTGTGTCCCAAAAGAAAAAGGAAGAGATAAGACACTATAAACTGCAAAATTTTATTTGGTACTTCAACAGTTATCTCCTGCTACTGGATACTGGTGAAAATGCCCCATAAGGTTCAAGGAAAACAAAACAAAAAAAAAAGAGTAACAAAGGGGACACGACCATCACAACTTGTCAGACAGGCTTGCCTACCACTGCATTATGGACTCTCTACTCCAACAGCATAAGAAGGATTCTTAGTTCAAACAGAGGTAAATTAGAAACCTTTCCTTATTTACCCTAAAGCTTGAAGTGGAGAAAAAGGCAGAGAGGTGTCTCAGTACACTTCATGTAAGACACCTTAGATGCAGATAGCATGTCTCAGCACACCCTGCACACAGTATCACCATAAAACTAGCCAGAGGAAAAAATCCAACTCTGCCTGACAGATTAGTGTTTTCTACAAACCCACAATTACTATCGAAGGGAGAATTTGCCTACATTACCACATCTAAAGAAACAGATTAAAAGGTATTTGCTATGCCAATGGTATTCTTTATTACACTGAACCCAGAGATCCCACCTCAGACTGGCCCCATTATGGGAAACTTATTAACAAAAGGCAACACGCCAGGTTTATGATAGGAGAAAAAAAAAGAGTTGTCTGTATTTCACTAAGCAAAAAAGGGGACAAATAGGAAAAACAAGAACGCACACTAACTCACAGATTGAAACCACAGTTCCAAAACCGTTTAGCATCACACCTATAATTGAATATACTCATGGACTCAAAATCAATAGCCTGAATCCCAGTTAAGTCTTTTCCCAAACATCCTTCTTTTGTTACTGTCAAATATGACTGATCCATTACACATTTTTTCTCTCTGATTTTATTTCTGGTATCTTTATAGTTTAATACTGCTACCAGTTATTTATGCCCCATAGTCCCAAATCACTGCCTGTTATTTGTCCTAGAATCCAAAAGCAACAATAAAAAATCAAGCACGTGTAGAGAGTCCTAAAGCATCACTTAAGCAAAACTATTTTTCAAAATATTTTTTTAAGATATAAAAATATAAAGCATAAAACTTACTTTGGTATTGATGGTAAAGCTCTCTCACCTTCTGTGTAAACAAGAAGAAAACAGGATTAAAATTCAGGTTTCCAAATAACCTCTTCTCAATGTACAATATACACACCTGAAACACTAGTCATCAAAATCTGCCAAGGCAACTTAGGTTGATTGAAAAGACTGTTCTATCCATATATTAAGAGCAGCATATCAACACACCTCCTTCAGCCAGCGATACAGAACTTCTGGCAAACTCTTATCTGAGAGAACAATGTATACAGAATATAAAACTTCTTTTCTGCTCTTAACAAATAACTCCAATAAATCACCTGCAGAAGGTATGACACTATCTCATCCCTCTAGTAAGAAATGGTTTTCTTTTATCTTGAAGATGTGATAAGTACCAACATATAAATAAAACAATTTAAGCAAGTTTGGACTTTCAAGTAAGACAACTGAAATAAATCATTAAAGCACATAATTTATCATATTGATTTAGCTGAGATACAAGAGCAGCACTCGGCAGCCAGAGATGAAGTTAGCTTTCTGTAAACTGTTCTCATATCCCTGGCAGTCTGCCTTTGTTAATGGCATTGTGTATAAAAGTATGGATGTACATATCTAAGGGTTATTTTCCCTACTGGATTTGATGAGACATTGGCACCCATGTGGGGAAGTTACTATTCCTTTACTAAAACATCAACAACTTATGGTATATTGAAGTATGCAGGGAAGAACAGAAGGTGGACAACTAAACAAGTTTCACTCTAAATCCCTGTAACGCTGATAAAGTGACTGGAGAGAAAATGGAGCAGCCACAGTTCTGGAAAATGGTGTTTCCACAAAATCACGTGAACTCTAGTTTACTTTTATCCTATGTTAGAACTTCTGAAATTCCAGAAACTATAGAAGTTAACTACAGCCCCACCTTTGTATGTTATAGTACTGAGTAGAGAAATGCCCAATACCTAGAAGGCAAGCTCAACATGGCAAAATACAGTACTTTTTTATATCTTTTTTTTTTTTGCTGGTGAAAAGTAGAAAAACATCATCTGGCCCACCAACTGAGGTCCATTTTCATCTGTCTGATGGGGAGGTAATGAAAAGGAAGATGCAGGAAAGAAAGAACAAGAGAGTGTGATTTGGAAGATGAACAGCTTGGCAAAGAGACCAGAGCAAGCACCTGAGGTCGGAGGGCTGAGGAAGGACAGCAAGATTATACAAGCAGCATGAGGAGGGAGATAAAGATATTGTGATATGTTAGGATAAATGGTATCTTTTGGGGAAGGAAATAAAAGGCAAAGATCCTTAGAGGTGGTGTGGAATGAAAAGCATGAGATGAGAGGCCTACAAACATGACAGCCTGGCAATAAAAGACTAGGGGGAAAGTATCCAAGAAGAGACACTGTAATGGGCACTAGAGGATTCACACTGGATAGAACTGAGCAAAAGACATCAAGCCTGGAGAAACAGGCAGACGAGTCCTGCCTGGCACTATGCAGGCCTCTCCCACAGTCAGAAGAGCCTTAAATTCTACCCCACACCTACATCAGCTGTCAGTCATTACTTGTGACAGCATCCTGAGCTCTGGCAGGGCTGCAGCAGGGGAAGGGCTGGGGCTGGAGCAGGGAGAGGTGTGAGGAGGGGGCAGCGGCCGGAGGGGCTGGGGGAGGCTGAGCACAACCCCCAGACCCACCCGCTGGGACCCGGGGAGAGGAGGCTGGTGAAAATGGGAGTAAGAAAGGGGGAGGAAGCAAACATAGGGGCAAGGTGTTGCTCACTTTTCCCCTTTGTTTCTCACTACTCAATCTATTTCCATTGGCAATAAAGCTATTTTGCTGCAGTTGAGCCTGCTTTGCCCACAACAGTAACTGGTAAGTGATCTCCCTGCCTCTGCTGCAGCCCAGGAACTTCTCTGTCTGGGGGACAGAGCCAGCAGCTGAGGTTGGCCACTGGCCAGGGCCAACACCCACCTTTTTGGTGCCCAACATGGGTTTCAGGAGCTGAAGGCAGCAACCATAATTAAAAGAGCTACTGGCCAAAAACCAGACTGGAGAGTATTAAGGAGTACAAATTGTGGGGAGCTCAAATGCTGGTTATGGGACACAGAGAGGAGTTTTTTGTGTATATGCTGTTCTTTTTTTACTTTTCTGATGATGATACTTTAGACTTTGATGTGAATCTTTGTTGACATAAGTTGGAATATATTTGTGATGAATGTGTATTTTAAGGATAATTATCAAATGTGCAGGTCACAGAGACAAGGGGTGGGGTGGAGGCAGCTGTGACTGCCACTGAGCAGCCCCATGTCTGTTCCCACAGCAGCCATCCTGCAGCCCCACACTACCAACACCTTGGCAGCTACACCCAGTGCCTTCCACCACTCCTACAATCCCTGGCTCCAGCAGATGTGAAAAGAATTCTCGAGTATTTTGACTTAGCACAACGTAACCTGTCCTCACCTTACTGAAATTATTGAGAAAGCAAAATCAGTGAGGGATCAAATTAGCCAAAGTGATAAGAGTATCGTAAGGATTATGATACATGTTACCGTTCCATTAAAATGAAAATACTGCTCATGGTTAATTTGTGCTAAAACAGAAAACACTTATTTGGAGAACCTACTGGATTGTTTCAGTATTTTCAAACTCAAAATTCTGAGTGTTCATTTAGCTGTAATCCTTTCAGATTCCAAAGGAGTATTTTAAGGTGAAGGTGAATTCTGGCATAAAGGTATGACAATCAGGTAACTATTTCAGTTGCTCAGGTGTCAACTTTTTTTTCCCAGAGTTGTCTTATTCTAAGACTTCAGACAATTTTGCATTACCTATAAAGCTCATTTAAAGTGATTAATGGCTATAAAATTCAGCCACTACACTTAAGATTGCTGGAAGGCAACACTGTGTAGTCCGATCAGTAAACAGCCACTTAATGTCAGTTCATGTTTTTATCTGTTGCTTCCTTTGTGCACTTTGCCTGTCAGAGTTAAGTGTGATAATGGAAACACAAATGTTAAGTTTAAAGTTTCCACATTGGTCTAAAAGGACCTATATACCAAAATATTTATGAAATAATTAAACAAACTGAATGGAAACATGCTGAATACTGTCCAGGTTTTAAACATTACCAAGTGGTCTCACCAAATTCAGAAAAACTGGATCATTAGTGGATAGCAACACAGATAATATCACAGGCTGTGCAACAAGGAGGAAAATCAGAGATCTTGCCTTCACAGAGTATAGTGAGTCTAAAAGATGCACAGAGCTAAGGCGTGATGAGGGCCTGTGGTTGGTGTTGTGAATGACACATCTAGAAGCACGCTCCCCAGTATTTCATGGAGTTATGAGCATTTATGGACAGGTAAGGAGAGAAAAGCCATTCCACAGCAGAGGAACAAGCCAATAATCACCCTGGCAATGCAGACTGAACAGACCCAAGTTCTCAAACACCACCAGTGCAGAAGTGACAAGAGCTGGACATACCCTACACGTGTGCCTCTGAAGAGAAGGACAGAGTCAGAGCTAGCCACTAACTTAGTGTGACTGAGAGGTGGGGAGAGGTGACATGTTAAGATATGAAAAAGCTTTAAAACCTCAACTTTGGCTACTATAGCTCAGGCTGGGAAACAGCCAACCCACTGGGTATTAGAAGGAGTTTTGGGAGCAAGTAATGATGATAGTAAGAAACCCTAAATGACTTTCTAGGAAAGAAGAGGCACAAAAGACAATTGCTCCCAGGTATAGACTAGTCTAGTGAAATGAAAATTGGTTTGTGATGCCTATTTTGTTTTGAGAACAACAAACTAACATTAATACTGCTGCTAGCTTATCCTTTGGTGTCTGATTTTGGTGCCGACAGTTCATCACCACCGAGTTGTGCACCAGGTTGGCTTGAAGAGCTGAGTTTGTGTTAAGGAAGATTCTCCTTTGAATGGCATTAAGTTTGCATGATTAACACAAATCCTAACTAACCTAGAGGCCAGTCACAGGCACTAAGGGTCAGAAATAACTAACAAACTTGGAAATTTAAGAATAATTTGAAAAATTACTAGGTGCTGTCAAAACATCTAACATCTATAATCACATTTCTTCATTCCTGAATGACCAAGTAAATAATCACAGCTGTTCAATGATCCAGTAATTAAAGCTGGCTAAAATTAGAAAAAAATTCTAAGGAAATGGAAAATTCTCCCTTTAAAGCTAGGTGTACCTCCACCCTTGTCTTGCTGCTTCTAGCTTGTGGGTTGCTATAAAAACAACTGATCAACACTACAAAATGCATCTCTTCTTCAGTTCTAGTGGACGGGAGAAGCTAGTGGGAATTCTCTCAAAGTTTTTATTTTTTAAACAAAGATGTTTTGAGTCAAGGAGAAAGGCAGAAATTCTAAGAGATTGTTACTAGTCAGAACCTTATCCAAATGCATTCTAACCAACCTCTCTGAACTTCCACTTGTATATTAGGGAATCACATTTCAAGGTAACATGTCCCTGTTAGGAGTGCCTTTAATTATAATTTACTTCTGCTAGTTAAGTCTAGAACAGTGTAAAGCAGTGATCACTGAAAATTGGTCTAAATTATCATCTGTTAAGTAATTTTTGATGCAACGACATTTACTATCAGTGTTTCCACCTCATGACCCCTCCCTGAAAGACTAGAGTCTCCAAGTGAGGGTTTCGCTGCTACCTTGGGTCTTCTATTCAAGTCAAAGTAATCTGTTAGTAGATTGAGTACAGCAACTACTGGAATGAAGCATCTCCTTACCTTTCTGTGGCCTGATAATAAAAGACTGCGTGGCTCCATTCACCAGCCGGCAATATCCGTCTATCAGGTCAGCCATGTTCTCTGCAATGGTTAAGGATGGTGCTGTCACTGTCAGAGGCTAAAGAAGGAAAAAACAAGGCACCAACAAAGAGGAATTATTGTAGCTGCAAACGCCGAGTAGAACAGCTGTGTCATTGCATCAGAACTTTACACACGCTCGCAAACAGTACACAAAAAAATGTGGGTAAGCAAAGAGCCACCGGATTCTTGCTCTGTCTTTGATGTAGTACATCTAAAACACCAGGTTCAGAAAGCACAGCTGATAAAACCCTCCACCCAAGTGTAGTACTAATCTGGGCTTAAGTGGCTTGCTATCTAAACTTCCAGTCACCTACTGTCCGTTACAACTGCTGTGACTTTTGCAGCTGCAATCCTGACAGTTCTGAAGAAGCTGCTTATCCCTTAAAACTTTTGCAGGTGGTATCTTTTTTCTACCCTCTTGCAGCAATTTATTTTTTGCCCAAAAAGTAAACCTTCCCAATTTAAAAAACAAACAAAACAAACCCACACCCCAAACAGTGGAAAAAGAAATGAGAAGCATACAGACAAGCTATTAATTTTAATACTGTGAACACTCATCATCCTCTGCACAGATCTGCCAATTTGCCCTCAATCCTTCTCTACCACAGTGACTGTTTTCCAGTGCACTGGGCCAATGAAAAGGTTTATTTCACTGCCAGCTCTGCTTTCCTGTAATATGAGTGAACAAATTCTCCCTCTTCCACATTTCCCTTTTTCAAAAGAGTGAATTCACTCAGTCTCCTCTTTAGGATGTAGCATCATATATAGATGGAGGTATTAAGTTGCACTTAAGGGCTAGTATTTTTAAATTAAGCTTCTTTTACAAATATCAAAGTCTACAAGCACCAGATGCAACACAATGAGTTCTGAAACTATTTTAGAACCCCAAATATCTGACTAGTATAATGGTGACTGCTCACACTCAACTTCCCTTTCCCCTTATAGAACAATAAACAATTGCAGAATGCCTGGAATACAAACTGTTAAAATATAGTGTGCCGCTGTAACAGAAGGATCAAGGAGGTTTCACAATAACTGAAGTCTTTGTACATTACACAGGCAAGCAGCACTTCAAAGGTAAAAAAGCTAAGTATATATTTAGTATATTATAATTAGGCTGACAGTAGAAATACCCAGAATGAAGTTACAGACCAGAACAAAAGTACAATAAACAGAGTATTTTCATTAAGACCATCCTAATCTCCATCCCTTCCCAGGAAAACCAAAGCTCCTAGGTTTATCACAACCATCAGTATCATACCTCAGGTGCACCTGCTATCTTGAGTTGCAACATCCCTTTTCTGTCCTTGTCTTCACTGTTTGAATACTGAATAGTCTGCACTTGATTAAAGTCTGCTAGATGAGTTGGCTGCAGAAAGGCAATGGAAAAAGCAGGGAAAATCTTTAACATTACAGCAAAATACTTTGCCTTTACTCCTCATGTTGCAAAAGCACATGTCTGAAAATGACACTTGTAGAAATCTGTTCCTCTGCTTCTCTCTACAGTGTCGTTAGGCTTTGACTAACAGCATGCACAGATATCCACAGTACTTCCAAAATGAACCCAAATGCCACCTTTGCCTACAGAGGTCACTGTTGAGTAACTCCAGGCTCACATCGGAAACAACTTCTTGGAGGTCAAGAGAAAACTCAACAGGTTAACCACGTGGAACTCTGCACTCACAGCATACTTACCACACCTCCAGACAGCTGTGAAAGGTATGTTCTCAGCTGGCTAGGTATTCCTCATCTCCAGACCTTTTCACTACCTTGGCATTAATTTCTATAGAAGTTGGACATGGGCTCAAGTTCAGGCATGGCTGTAAAGGTCCCAAACATTTTGCTAGAAGAACCCATCTGAACAGTTTCCTTGCACCACAGAGGTGTACAGGAAATCCTGTACCACACCCAATAAATACCATGTCATGAAAAGGCTACTAAGGGTATGAGGTATAGCAAAGAAGCCAGCAATGACTGCAGAATTGTTCAATGCTGATTAAACAAGCTCTTCATTTACACATTCCCAGGAAAGAGGAGCATAATTTAGACTAATTTGCATGTTTCACTGTTAGAAAGCCACTCCTAATACTTCAAATTCTGCAAGTGAGCACTTCATGGGTACCAAAGACCACAAATTCAGTGCCAAGGCTGACACTCTCTCCTCTTAACCCAACTGCATTTTCTCTGATCCTAAATCACGAGCTAGAATCTGAACAAGCTGCGTACTTGAACTGTGTTTAACTCAAAGATTAGACTTGTCATGCCCTGTTGTGTGAAGTTCAGTTCACAACAGCTCATGGTTGTTAAGACAGTAACTGAGAGAAGAAAAGAGAAGTAGACTTACATTTGCACCCTTGTCTGTAAGGTAACTGATGCCTTCTTCTGGGCCAATTGCCAGTTCCACCGAAATAATCCAGCTTGACTTCAGAAGCAAAGGGAAAGGACAGGGCAAATTTCAACAGTAAGACAAGACCTTGCTATGAAACAATGTCCTCCAATGCTATAATTATAGTCTTTAGCAGTTAATCTCTAGAAGCTTTTAAACTCTTCAAACAATTTAAAATGTATTAAAATCAAGTAATTCTATAAGTAGCAGAACTCCTCGTGACTGGTTTCCTGGGGATCTATGCTACTCAAACTGCATTTCCATGTGTTTTATCTTAGGGCTACAAGAGAACTATGTATTTCCTATATTTCCTCTTCTTGTGGACACTGATGTTCATGTTCTAATTTCTACTTGAGTGTCTTGTTTTCTTGCAGACTTACTGCCCTTTCTCAGAATTTGTTTGAAATTGGTAGATTTTAACAGGCATCAGAGCAAAATGTAGAAACAGAAGAAGTTGAGAAGTCTCATTTCCTCAGGAAACCAGGTTAAAAATTGTTTCACTTTCCCAAACAAAGCACCAATAAACATATTTAGTAATATACAATTCTTACCCTAATCATGTTTTTTAAGTCAACTGATAAAGCTCTAAAAAATATCAATAAATATATTTTGTTGTTAATGAAATCCAACTGTCTCCACATCAAAGCAGAAAATAAGTAAAGAGTTGCAAAACAAAGTGAAACTGGTCAGGACTGGTAACTCCAGAACGTATTGCAGTGACTGTCACATTCCTCTACTTACACCGAGAGCACACTTGAAGCATTCCTTGTCAAATCTGTACACTGGAGAGAGGATCTCAAAGAACTTCAAAATACTTTCTTCTCTATTGAGGTTGGCAAACTGTCGAAATGTTTGTTGGATTAATTTTCGTAGTGTTTTGGCCTGTGTATTAAAATGTTTAAATGTTAATTTAAATCTAGGCAGAGATGGTGCGTTTTAAGAGTTTCAGTCACTTAGTATAATTAACCCTTATACTTAACTTTAGTGCAATAGTTCTGCCTTCTACCTTCTACTTGGGAACACAACTATTTCTGTTATATATTATGGAAGGAATATCTAACTAATACTGCCTTGAATTAATGATAATAAAAGACAACATGCTAACCTTTGCAGGAACTCCCAACTTAACTGTGTACCAATTCAAAACAGCAACCTACAGCTTCGCAGGAGGTCTTAAACTGAAATCATCATTCTCTTACCTGGTAGTAACAACTCAGCTGTAGCTATATCTTAATCTCCATGCACAGTACCTTACACTGCCCATAATAAAGTGGATTCTTAAAGTCTAATATTATGCAAAATAACTTCCATATAAAAATACAGACTTGAAACGCTAAATTAAAAATTAACGAAAGAAGTAAAACAAATATTTAAACTATTTTAACTGTGCTTTGAAGCATTTTATTAACTGTTTTCAGGATAGAAATAATCACTCAGAAAGAGCAGCACAGATCATCCTCCCAGCATCTGATACAACTGGACAGAGCAAGACCCCTAATAACATATCCCAAAAAAGAAATCACATAGAGGATACAAGCAGGCTGTTAAACTTCTGCATTTCTTTAAAAAAAGGATAACTAAACTAAGGTTTATGAAATGTGAAGTATCTATCTGTATATAACATGTAACCCCCGGGAAGGTTGCCACACGTGAAAATAAAAACAATCTGAGAAGCAACCTCTTTAGTGTCCCCCAAAACTGAACAAGCAATCAAGAATCCTGAATAAAACCATCTGCTTCTAAACACTAGACTTCATCTAGACACTGTGCAGTGCCTTCTCTTCATCTGTCCTAACCCTAAGAATCATAGAATCTTTTAGACTGGAAAAGACTTGAGAGCACAGGTATGTTTTCTCTAAGTAGTACAGACTCAGGTTTTCATCCCATAGTGCCCAAATGTCAAAACCACCAGAGCATCTATTCTTTTTCCCTTTGCCAAAGTCTGACTCTGTCTGAAGTGACTGGATGCATTTAAAAAACTTTAGGAATACCCATTGCAATGTATCTTCCTACTAACAACAATGCTAAAAGGCAAACCCAAGCTTATTTTTGCAACAGTCAAGGCTAAGACAGGAATTAGCATTGTTGGTTTACCAAAACATAGCTGAATATCCTATTGTAAGAACATTAAAACTCTTCATTCTTTCCTCCTGCCCATTAACAGCTCACAAACATAAACTTCCTTCCGTTGTTTTTTTGTAAGTCTTTAAAGAAGATTCAGAACTCTAAACAGCCAGAACTTTTTAAAAGAAGTGATGGTTGGACTGGATGATCTTAGAGGTCTTTTCAGCCTCAATGGAACACCTGGCAAATACCAGGAGCAAGACACTACATAAAGAATAAAGTCTGCTGGCTCGAGCTGCACCAAGAACTTCAGCCACTCAGTTGTTGAGAGAGAGTTTTATTGTGGCCATGCTTTGTTCTCCTGGCCTGTTTCAGCATCACCTTGGCTTCCACGCATACTGGCATATGTTATTTGGCTCTTCTAAGCCCACCATGAAGACTTACTTACTCTTCCCTTTACTGTTACAGTAAGGCATAAACACAGAAAGCCAGTTAGAGAAACACACCTCTTCCAGAACAGAAGAGAGCCTTTCCTGAGAAATGTCTGCAAATGACTTCAGGGGAAATGCACTGGAAAAACATGGATAAACAAAACTATTGGCAGGACATCTGAGACACAGTGCCTTGTCCAACGGCTTTAATGTTTCCTCCTGGAGGAACCTCTCTGGACACCGCCTAGGACAGCACTTGATTGCTTTCTTTTACAGAATTATGTCTTACAGATACTCTGTGATAAACTACTATATAAATGTCTTTAAACTCCTGGCTTTATTTACTTAATATTAATAAAATTTACTTTACAAAATAAAGCTGAACTTTCTGGTTTTGAATTGCTGTGTATCACCTCATACTTTGCACTGTTAAATGTTTTGATTTTCCATTTTCCAGCCTTCTGGTCTTCCTACACATAGTGACATCCTTTGCATAGCTGACATCTCCTAAATGTGTAACAAGAAATCTGAAGCTTTATGTCACTGATAGAGAGAAATAATTAAATTTGTATTTCATGGCCATCAGGAGCCCTCCTTTGCCTAACATTTCAAAATCACTGGTCTTCACAATGTATAGGAATCATTTAATAATTTCAACCAATCCTAGATTATTTTTAATAGGGATTTAATTTTCATTAAAAAGGAGACATTTTTCCTTCCTGTTTTCCCTCTTTCCGTGTGCAACATGTTTTTCATGTCTTTGCAAGTTTCCATTCAGCTTCACCTTCTGGGAATTCTTGCTACTTCTTTCAGCTACCTTCATGATTTCTAAAGAGCCATTTTTTTAGTTGGTCAGTTTTCTGGCTCCATAATATAATTTTTGAGACAGTTACTACATCTGGGGCCTTTCACCGTAATTTCTCCCGTTAGCAGAGAATACAGTTCCAGATAATTGCTTAAATTAAAATGCAGAGGGATTACTTAAATCCACTTGACTTCATTAGCTTCTGATTTTCAAGTCCTTTGAAACAAAACCCCTTCATGACAAACTTTCTTGTTTATACATTTAAATCACAATGTAAAAATTTTGTAAATCTGAAGCTGAATATTATTATTTCTACAAACCCATCACTGCTTACTAAAAGCAGCTCCAAAATACTGTCACATATAAATGGTATGAGATATTTTACCACGACATTCATATCAAAATTGCTATAGCTGTAGAAACACTCAGCAACCATTTTCACTCCCTCTTTTCAAAACACGGTTAGAAAAATGCACATTTTTTACTCTAAGAACATATGGACTTCAGTGGAAATAAGAGTCAGCTGCTGTTTATAGGATTAACATAAATGGAAATTACTGGAAATCCTCCTTGAATGAGCTGGATACAGTTTTGCGCAAGGGAGGCAGAATATGGTTTATCAAGTTACCACTAAAAACATGTGTCTTACATGTGCCCCTCCTCTTTCTCCACAAGTCTCATTTCTCTCAGTGGTGGTGGTGGTAGGAAAAAAAAAAAGACTTTATTTGATACTAAAGGGTCTGAGGACTTGCTCTAAATGTTCACCCAGAATGTCTGGGAGGCAGAGGTTCATCTCTCACAGCAGCTGTGATTCCCTTATAGACATGGTGAAAATGATAATGCAGATTTCCAACTTTTTTTTTTTTTTAATTAAAGTAGTATACAATTGACTGGAACTACAATTACCTTCACTGAATCTAGTAAACTCTTCGGGAAAAAACGTCTTAAACCAACATCTTTCCTGAAACAAAAACACACACAGCATTACTATAAAAAACACTTTGCAATATTACATTCCTCTTTTTCAGGGTAGGTTTGGTGGCTTTTTGATTGTTTGTTTTTCAAACTAGAAGATGCAATATAATAAACAATTCTCCTAGTAAGGTTCTTGACAACCTCAGAGTAACAAACAGAGTACCTTTCAAACACTCATCACAGCCACTCCACAGACCCGTGGGATAGCAGTAGCTTCTAGCTTAAAATCCAAAGGATATCACATTTACAACAGGTACCTGGTGTGCCAAGTGTATTATTTTAAAAGTTGGCTTGGGCACATTGAAGCTCTGAGAATAAAACCTGTTCTTTGTACATGTTTTAATAATTTAACGAAAATTGAAAAAATATTCTTACAGCATGTAGTCGGGTGAGAGGGGAAAAAGATGAAAGTGGCAAATCCTAATGAACATCTACTAGAATTGGGTTAGAGACACACAAAGGGAAGGACCTCGCATGGCATTATCTGTGTATGCATGCTGACTGCCATTCCACTACTGTTTTACCCTTTGTGGCACTAGAATTAAAGTGTTTTTTTTTTTAATTTCTACTTTTTTCAATATATTTAGCATCTACTGTTAAATTCCCAGCTTTTTCTTGCAAGCTATCTCAGATATCTTTTGCATTTATAAATCAAGATCCTAATTTTGTCCATGAGCTTGGATTTTGCAAACTGAATTTCATCCAGCTCACTTCCACACTTCTAAATTGGATTGCAGCCCTGGTTTGAAACCCAGAGCCATGAGGATTAAAGCTGCACCTAGCTGAGGTCTGACTTGTGTATGTACCACTACAACTGAACATTAGCTTCAAGAAAAATGCCTGAGAAGGTGCCAGAGATATGTTAGGGCAGAAGAAAATCACTGTACAACCAGGTATAACAAATGTTGTATGACTCTGAATTAGTTATATGGTATTAGCAGAATATTTGCATGAGAAGAAGGACAAACTAAGAGAAAAATGTAAATAGGAAAAGGATTTAAATCCTTGCTTCTGAAAGGTGTTAGTGATTTTTTTCCTTTAAATTTAAGAGGTTACAATCTCTTCTAAACAAGCACCCTTATTTGCTTTTGAAACAAGTATTAAAGAAAGCTTTCCATGACTGCATGCTTTGAACACAAACAGAAATACATCTGGAATTCTTACATTTGGCCAAGAGAAGCCCTTAGCAAGCCAAAGATACACAGTATATATTTACTGCTACACAAGAAGAAAGCCAACATTAAAGGCAATTAAAGAAGCTTACTCAATAAACCAGGGTATTTTTAAAGACAAGATTCTCTGAAGACAAGAAGCATACAATTTCACAACACATACTAAAAACATCCTCCAGTAAGAGAAGCAGAAACTGGCATCTGTGCAATGACAGTAAGCTGAAAGATTATAAAACTTCCATAAATGTTAATTCCTTTGATGCCTTTCTTCTCAAATGCAAATTATATGCAGTTTATCATCCTACACAGTTAAATAAATCTAACACACTATTACCATCTAAATAACATGCAAAGACATTTTGACAAGGAATATATTAGTTTAACATTGAGTACTTGAGAGAGAAATGGGGTTTTCAAAAACAAAGCACCCTAAACCACTCCAGTGTTCCTCAGCAGCACCACAGCACAAGGCTGTGACAATCCAATTCGATGTACTATTAAAAGGAGTTGTAGAATAGCCTTTTGTACAGATCTATGTGTAACAAATTCAGCAGAAATTCTGATGTAGAGCAAAGAAAACCCCACAGCTTTTAATAAAAATTTGTTAACAAAGCATTCCCTGTGCTTAACTGAGATGGCAAATTTATGGACTTAAACCTGAGAAGCCTACAGATTTAATGCCATCATCAACAACACATTATGGGGATCTAGAAATTAGAGAAAAAAAAAAATTAGAACCTAGAACACAGGAACAGTTTTAAACACAACCTACAAACTCCTTCCCCTCCCTCCTCAGCTGCACTGTGTGGGGGTAAACCAGCCAGCTCAGGATACACTCCAACTCAGCCCTCCAGATTAGGAACTCAAGACATCTGTTTTCTGATTGCCAGTGAAAGGTAATTGGCAGCAAGATACTGGTTTGTAGAGTTCTTCTACAGCTTTGTATTTAGCCTCATCTACTGCATCCTACTTGTGGGCTTAAATGTAAATTTATTTTTTTAATGTATAAACTTCAATAGGATTATTAAAATACCAACTACAGATAGATGATGCCACTTGTCATATAATGATAAGCAGCTTCAGGCAACATATATCTTTTTTTCTATTTTCCATCTTGATTGAAGTTGCCACAAAAAAGTAATGTTAGATGAACATAATAGACTTTAACAGGCTTTTTACAAAATTGTGGCTGCAGCTGTTGCCTCGTACAGCTCCCATTTTTGTACTCGCAATTATCCCTGTTCTATGCTAACAGGCTTCCCATTTATGATGAAAAAAAATTCTTTCATTACATGAAGGCCCAACTATTAAAGGCTACTTAACAGTTTGATTCTATCTACCATTTCCCATCCAGATTTGGTTTTATATGAAAATCCGATCAAAGACGAACATGCATCAAACAGACATCTGACAAAGACAGGCAAGAAGCAATCACATCAAATGCAAAAAAAGTGCCATTTAGAAATTAGACTCAGATGGTTAAGTGCCTCATGATGTACTAAAATGAGAAAAAAAAAAAAACACCAAAAAAAACAAGCCTCACTTGAAAAATAAATATTGTGTAGATAAACTTTTATTGACCACTACAGTGGTAAGAACAAATAGGTACATTTTGGGGATCACTAGCAATTTTTGCAGACTCTTACTGGCTTATAATTATCTATAGCCACTTTAAAGTGCTTTTATCCTTCACCTCTCACAGCTAAATCTCATACAAAACACATTTTTCCATCTAAAAAAAAAAATAAGAAATAAACTTGACGTGCACAATTTTACATTTCCAGTTCTGCACAGCATTAAGCTGTTAGATTTTTGATATCAGAGCTGTGCCTCACTTTGTCTTTCACAGCAGCAATTAAGTTACTCCCTACCAGAAATGTTTGGAAACATGCACTGAAAGAAACAACTCACTGGTAAACTGGAAGCAGCCCCACACAGAGTCCTCCAGGAACTCTCAACTGACACAATTATTAATACATAGTTCATGTCTTCTGCAATGATTCTTGTTTCCTTTGTCTTGTTGTCTCGGAAGTTTTTCATCTAACTACTAATGCTTGTAGCTTAGGAGTTGCCAAATAACCGACTTTAAAATACCTTTCTCAAGTTCCTAGTGGAATATATTGAAATTGTAACCACTATAACTCACTGCACATTCAAATCTTTTTTATATCACCTTTATCCTTGGCTATCTGCTCATCCCGTTCACCTTTGTTAGTCCTTTCTCATTTCATTATGCATTTCCTCAACCAGGATATTCCTGGTCATGGATACTGACAGAACACTGAAGCCCTTCAAACAAAAAACCCAATTCAAACAAACCCAAACCTTTCAAAATTCTGCACAGAAGAGCACTACATTAGGTGTAGTTTACCTATTAAAATCAGTTTCCTCAAAAATCCTTGTGAAGTTATTCTCTGTGGTGAAAAATCTTATCTTTCACACCCCTAAAACTTAGCACACGCTTTATTAAAAAGAAAATTTAAAAAATAGGGACTTCACTGCTAAACCAACCTTTTGTCCCAACTCCATGTACAGCATCTCTTCTCAAAGATCATTAGTAGTGAAGAGCACCCCACTCGTGTATGCAGGTATGAAGCTTGTGGCACTAAATTAATATAAATAAAACCAGTCTTCAATCCCTGAAGCCTCAAAGGACTTTGGATTGTCTGGACCGAGGCCATCTACCATACAATATGATTAAGTAACCAAAATACTTTCAGTGTGAAGATGCTTCTTGGTTGTCTTAAAATCTGTGATACACAGATAAATAATAAACCTGCTAACTGCAAGGTCACAATTCAGGAAAATCATATACTGAGTAAACAGAAGAAAATACCACAAATATTTTGAAGTAACTCAAACTACCAGAGACTAATCGCAACTGAAGAATGCAACTATGTACAGAAAAAAAAATAAAGTTTAGAAAGAAAATCACTTTAGAGCTAGGTTTGATGAAACACAAACATTAGTAAAACTGCAAAAAAATCATAAGCCTTCTGATCAAGTTTAAACAATTCCAACTCTGCATCCCTGGACAGTAGTAAAGTGCTCTTCCTATTTCTATACCTTGACAGGTTTCATAATCATTTTCTTATATTAAAGCAAAGATCTCAGCGAGCTTCATGAAATAGAAAATTACAACAAAGATGTTCTGCTATTGAACTGAATTTAATGCTCCTGATTAAGAAACAGCTCAAACCCCAAGCTAGAATACAATACTTACTCTAACACTTCATAGTTGGACTTCTTTTCTAATGCATTGCCTCTCATCTCTCCGTAGGATCTCCTGAAGTCAGGAAAAATATTTGAAAGCGACAATTATTGGATGATGCAGCCTAAAACTAAAACAGCAGCGTAGTCAAATCTTTCAGAGACTTACCATCAGAAAACATTAGCAGAATGAATTCAAACAGAAATACTAGTACATTATTCTCCTATACCAAAACAGATGAGTTTTTTTTTTTAAATTTTACAGAATAACTTCATGCATGGCACATGACACAGGACTACAGCAGTACTGCACTGTCAGACCCACTCTGAACCAGCTTAACTGCACTGCTACCAAAAGAAGAGTTCCAACCTTCCCTCCAGCAGCTCCTTTCTACCTCTAGCAGCATCTCCCCCCTTTATAAGAGCCCTTGTGTCCGTGCATGTAACAGGGAGAACCAGAGATGATGAAAGCTGACAGTTTCAATTCAGGCATGTTCCCATTAAAAGAATAATTAATCAATATATCAATCAGGAATGAGTAGGTGTTGTTGGGAGAGGGCTGGGATCATTGTTCTCATTAAGTGGGCAAGTGATGCTGCTGGTACAACAGTCTCAGTATTCAGTGACTAAAAGTGTCTCATGAAAATACTCTGAAGAGTCACAGCATGAGAACCATGGAAAGCAGGACTTGGCTGACAAAATAATGGTGGGTTATTATACTCATGTTTTGAAATAAGGCACCAACAATATTGTAGGTAAGGAGTTTGCAGTTACACAAACAACTTTAATTTTCTCTGGGGCTACTGGTGAAACGTAGAGCAGACATCAGGTCCTCCTAAGATACCTAGGAAATCTCGTAAGCCTAAATTTTCTCTTATTTTGGAAAGTACTGTTCAAAGGACACTTTTATTCTCTGCTAACAAGTTTACATTTGCCATTAATTTCTTATCAGTTTTACTTCTTCCCTTATCTCCCTGTGCAAGACAACAGCCTAACTAAGGCAAATGTTTCAGGCTGGAAATTCTCCATAAATAAGCAAAAACCAAAACATGCATTTCAAAAGCTGTGCTGGGGACTCTCTCAAGGATCTCTTAATCTGATAAATTTATCTTTACTTTCCAGCTGTCTATACAGCTGACAAAAACACCCCAAACCCCCTACAGAATCCTTAAGATTTAATCACTTGAAAATAGCATATTAAAGATTGACTAAAGGCAGAGAGGGAAGGTAGCATTTAAGTAGATTCTTTAGCTGTAGAATTTATATATGCACAATGACAAGAAAGACTATTTGCCAAGTAACACCACAGATCTATTTTTTTTTAAGCATATTCCACTCCACTGTACAGGCCTTTGAATTATTCAGATGAAGACTTCACCCAAAAGGCACTATCAAGATGCAATTAATGAAAATTTTAAAATAAATGTTAATTTAAAAATCACTAGGAATTGGTTAAACCCCAGTCTATTCAGTTTTTCTTCAAACTACTTTGTAGCAAAAAAAGTCTTATGTTTTATTCAGCTATACTGGTCAGAAATCAGTGAACTATAAACAGTTACAAAATTAATGTATATATTCTGTTAGAACCATGCTGAATAATAAATGAAATTATCAGCTTACCGGATTTCAAGGCAACCTAGCTTCAAAGCAATTTCCTGGTCCACTTGATCTGCTATTTCTAACATATAGTCATTTTTCACCTACAGCAAAAGAAGCAGGTATGCATCACAGACAGATCAGTTCAGTGCCCATCCAGACTGCCCAAACAACTTCAGAATAAATACATCTTGGGTTTAATTTTGTGGAATGACTATTTACAGTGCGTGAAGAGAAATAAAGAAGCTATGTTCATCTGCTCCACTAATGAGCTGCACTTTTCTAATAAACCCATTTCAACTGCAATGAACGTGATGAAAAAATTCCTTATCTACATCAATATTACCTATGTTGTATCAAATATAATCAAAACCTTCACAGGAGGCTGAGCAGATGGTTGCACCTGCATTCAAGATACGTGAATGTATGTTGTACTATTGAACCATCTTGGTCAAATGTTTTTAATTTTGTAGGTGCATCTAGTCATGCATATAAACCAGAAAAATGTCAGTGCAGCACTGTGAAAATAAAAACAGTAAGTAAAAAGAGAAGTATGTGAAAATCATACCACGTGCTGACCTAAAATGGTGTTTGAACCAGCAAGAAGAAGAAACAAGAGTGAAATGAGATGGCTATCATCTGGAGGAGGAAATAAAACAGGCCAGGAAGTGTGCTCTGACCTGGAGGAGGCCCAATGCTACGACCACATGGTCAGCCCTCCTGAAGAGGACCACTGGGTCAGACCAGCATCCCTGGAGCACTGCTGGCAGGCATCGTCCCCAGCTGTGGTAAAGTAACGTGCAGAAGCTGTGCCACAGAGAATGCCAGCTGCTCAACAAAGAGAGACTAGGTGGGTCTAAGCTTCATGACATCCCCTGGAATTGTTTTATTTACTAACATTAATGTAAAGCAGAAAGCCTACTTTAGGTAATGCTTTTGTCACATTGGTATAAGTTATTTATATTTATAAACTTGCTATTGAGATCTTAAGGCCTAAGACCCTACACTTACAGAAAATAATGAAATAGCACAAAAATGCAAGTCTGATTTGCAGATTGAAGAGGTTACACATTCTGAAAGCAACAGGCAAAATGTTATTTTTAAATGATGACAAGTTGTAAGAAAAACTATTTCAAACTGCTATTGCTATGAAAATCATAATTTTAAAGAAAAGGAAGCACAGCAGCGGAGTCAAGAGCTGGAGGTCCTCTCCAGGCACCACCCTTCCAGTAACACAAAAGCACCCAGCACAGCTCCCAGCACCCACTGACAGCTGGATCCAGCCCCGGGCTACAAAGCAACAACCATATGACCTTCCTAGCTATGAAGTGCATGAAAAATTTTGTCATTGAAAGATGTGAAAGGAAGGAAGATGATAAACTGTGCAAGAGTGAGAATATGAACTATTACAGTAGCTGCAACATCAGGAGAAAGTTCCTTGCATTTGAACTCAAGACAGGTTCTTGACATGACAAGGGCCAGGGGGAGGGAGCCAGAGTAGCAGCAGCCACCCCCGTCAAGTAGCACGAGGGGAAGTTGAGATTGGACATAGGGAAAAGTTTCCTCACCAAAAGGGTTGTCAAGCCCTGGATGAGGCTGCTCAGAGAAGTGGTGGACTCCCCATCCCTGGAGGTATTTAAAGGCTGGGTAGATGTGATGCTGAGGGACATGGTTTAATGGTGACCTGGCAGTGCTGGGTTAATGGTTGGATTTCATGATCTTAAGGGTCTTTCCCAACCTCAACAAAATGATTGTAGTACCTCTTTACTTACAAGTTATGGCAGACACATTCCATCCATCTGAAAGACTGGGCAAAGGGGGCACTGGGAAATGGAGGAATTCAAGGTCTGATTCTTCAGCATCAGGCATAAAACACTGCCTAATGTTATGAACTGACTGAAGAGTTCTCCCGTAGTAATCACCCAAAATCACACTGGAAAGGAACCTCTGGTTCAATATCCCTGGCTCCATCAGGGCCAGCTAGATGCAGCTGCCAGGACCATGACCAGACAGCTTTTGAGTATCTCCAAGAATGGAGACTCCACAACCTATTAAGGCAACCTGTGCCAGTGCTTGGTCACCATCGCAGTTGAAAAAAAAGTTTCCTGATGTTCAGAGGAAGTCTCCTGTGTTTAACTTTATGCCTACTGCCCCTGGTCCTTGCACTGAGGACCAGTGGAAAGAGCCCAGGTTTGTTCTTCCACAGGTATTTAAAGCCATTTTTAAGATCCCTCCAAGCCTTCTCTTCTTCAGGCAGTGACAACTATCTCAGCATTTTCTCACAGGAGATACTCCGGGCCCTTCACTGGATCCTCTGCATAAGCTTGATGTCTTTTGTACTCAAAGTCATTACAACACCTGGAGACATTTTCTAGAAACCTGGCAACCCAGAAGGTTGGGCATTTCTGACCACTCTGTACTGTTCTGTTATCATCAAGTGCCAAAACCAAAGAATTCTTCCTGGAAAGGACACTTCTGGCCACAACACAAAAAATGCAGAGCTTTTGAGTACTACCTTATCTCAGCTAGCATCCACTCACCATTACCCTATATTCTACTGCAGCACTGCACCTGCTAGCAATGGTACAGTATTTCTCTAAGAGACAATCTTCTCTAACCAAGGTTTTAACTTGGAATCACAACTACCATCTAGATGCCTTCACAAACAGCACAACATAATAAACAGAAAAGCAAATTTCAACTTCTGTTCATTAGTAAAGATATGGAACTTGTTCTTATTTGGATGCCCATATTCAAGAAATGTAACAAGTTTATTCCAGAAACATGTTAGAAGAAACTATAATCCATTTACTTGTTTACATTATCCATACTGAGATTTAATGAACTTTAATTGTACTTTAAACACAAGCTTTCATTTCATTCTCCTACTCTTTCTCTGAGAATTGACGTTTGTGTGCAGGCCAAGTTATTTCACACAAGAAGGTAAGACACCTGCTCACAAAACCCAGCAGCTAGCCTCCAAAATGATCAAATATCCACTGGCTAGTTCACTTCTATTTAATATCTTTATTTATGCATTCAATTTTTTGAACCATTTCAACCACTTTTCATCAGATCTGTTACCTATCTACTCCCTGAGGAAAAGAACTGGCTGCAGAAAAGCATTTTTATTTCTAACCTGATATACAGAACTTTTCCTTGTAGAAACTAGAGTAATTTGAAGCTACAAGTATAGGGGGATCAAATATGTGTTTGTTTCTCTTCACAGCTCATTGCCTTACAGATCCCACTACTGAAGCACTTCATTTGTTAAACTAAATAGCTTATGCACATCTCCAGTTTCACACAAACATATTTTTAAATGCTGCTAGCCTCAAGTAGCTACTATTCAATAAATAAATTAGCAACATTATCCAAACATTTAAATCTTGGGGTTTCTTTTCTCTTGCCCTCTGGCTTGTGAGCTTTCAAATTCCAGTCATGCTTCCCAGTTTGATTCTGCAACTACAGGCTCAGCACCTGACTAAAAAGTTTTAAACGCCCTCCCCATTCCAACCATTTGGAAGAAAAAATAAGTTTTGTGAAAACTCTCAGCTTATTTGCAAGACAGAAGTGAGATATTTTCACCACAGTGCAGCACAGCTGTCAACTTGAGCACGTAGTTTTGCTAGTGTGACAAGCAGAAAAAAGGGTTTCATTTTTAACACATCCCAGTCCAGAAGAGATGGACAAACACAGGTCTTTCATAAAGGCAGAGTAAATGACACATATTCCCCCCACCTCCCATTTCAGCCAACTCTCTCCTTTGCAGATAGATTGTGTGGGGTGTGTGGGTGGGTTGGTGTTGTTTCTGAAGTTCCTGGGTACAGTAATGTGGAGTTTCAAGTCTTTCAAATTCACTACATTTTTCAACCTGATGAGTGGGATAAAAATATCTTTATCCACCTAAGAAATGAAATGGAAACATAGAAAAAACACCCTTCAGTGTCCACAAGTGACTAACAGCAGTGCCCATAAAATCAGTTGTGATATCCTCCCATCACAATTAATAGCTGCACCTATTTATGTTGGTATTTAAGCTTTGGGTGGTATACAAAGAGATTACAAGCTTCAGGAAGCCTATGGCCATAAGCTTGTGGTTCAATTAGATCAAGCAGTGTCCTACTATGGATAGAAAAGATATTAAATTGATATAAGGAATTAATTTCATCTTGCTTTTCTCATAAATCTGTCTGCACACATTCTTCTTTAAATTTTAGGAAGTCTAAGGGGAAGGCAAAAAAAAAAAAGTTACATTTCTTCAAAAAGATTCAATTTCTACTTCTAGAATACTAATGAGAATTTCTCTTATCACCTTTGGTTTTCCTTGACTATTCTCTTTGAGATGGCATTACATCAATGCACGAACTTCTGTGAAGACTGGATATGAATTCTGCAAGAGGTCCAGCACAAGCTGCATAACCTCCCAAGGAAAAGGCTTGAACAACTATTAAAGGGAAGAGATGCAAGAGGTAATTTAATGGTAATTAAGTACATTGCCAAAAGGTGACTGATTAGTTTTTCTAGAAGTCTTTCGTGTTTGCCTAATTATTGTTTTATTATTGTTGCTGCTAATACAGTTCAATGAGAGAAATGAAAATATAGCCTACATACATACAAAACCAAAACTGACAAATCTAAAGAATTCTACCTTTTTTTTCAGAAGTACTATGTTAAGGAGGAGGATGAATGCTGATCTGTAGGGTCTGGAGATACTGTTACCTGTGAGGTCACAGAATGTTAGCAGAACTGCCCTCCTTGGTGCTATGTGCAGAACTCTACTTCTGGCTTGGAAGTTCAGTGAAGAGCACACAAGGCCTGGAGGAAGGCTGAAGAATATGCAATCAAGATATGTGTACTCTTCAACTAGATCGAGCACCACTGCTGCTCTTCTGCTCCCCTTTTAACTGTTCAGAATGGGATCTCTCCAAAGGCTAAACTAAAAAAAATGTAGGATGCCATACCTTAATTCTACCTTTGTAAGATAACACTGATTTATAGAAACCTGTCACCCCAGAAAACCCAACTGGCCAAACAAGCAGCAGCCCTTTCCAATTTCCAACCCAACAAAGCCTTCAGGGTACTCCTGCTAAACCTGTGTAGC